GGTCATGACAAATGCATTTTACACTCAATGAGGGGGGTCACATGACAAATGCATTTTACACTCAATGAGGGTTGTACTGTCTTCCAAGTTCGTGATGAATGAAGTATCCATCTCAAGACTTCAGCTATCAGCATAGGATATAGGAGATGTCCTTCTTTTGGGGACTGGGTTCAACCTTGCACTCTTGCAAATTCATTGCGAAGCCAGAGAGAGTCGTGATAGAAGCGGGAATCTCCCAGATTCAGAGCTGTTCTCTTGTAGAAGTAGAAATAAAACACGGCCACTGTCAGAAGAAAGAAGAAGAGTCATAACCTGCACACCCTCAAAAGATAACTCAAATAGAAAAAGTTTAGCCAAAAGGACCGATATTATCTGTAACCAGACCCATGATTACCATTTTCTTTATTCTTTTTTGGATGGCCTCCTCTAAATACTTTTATATTCAACATACAAAAGAGTGTAGGTGTAGTTGCATACTTACACAAACATGGTTTCTAAACTTTGGTCCATGGACCACCAGGGGTTGAGGGCCTATCCTGGGTGGTCCATACCATCTTCCTTTACTATGCTGTGGGATCTACTGTTATTGGAGACATTGGGCAGCAGGTAAGTGGAGCATTTGCAGTTATGCCCTCACCCTCTCCCCCCATGCCTTTCAGAACTAAGCTAATCAATGATGGCAGGAGGAAGATACTTCTCCTTGCTGTGTCTCTCCAATGTCAATAGCCAGAGGCCTGTTCTAATTATAAACAGAGTATCTGGCTAACACTAGGGGGAACCCAGCATGGACAACATCATTGTGCTCAAGAGTCCCATTCTGGATTGGGTGAATGGTGCACCCCACCAATAGAAGAGTGGTTGGACGGTACGGTTTGATCAAACTGCTTTTCTAATACAAGCAGATATGAGACTGGTAGGGGAGTGTTTCTGACATAGTTGGAGCAGGGCGTTTTAAAAGTGACTTCGTATAGAAGCAGCACAGTGCCAAGTGTATGAGGCTTGACAATGTGAAAATATACTAAGGCATGAGAGGAGCAACAATGTGCCGAGTAAGGTAAAAGAATATCATAGAGAGTCTTATCTGCCATTAGGTGTAAAAGTAGGCACTGGTGGTCCACCACATCTTTCACATGGATTAAACTGCTCTACAGACCATTAACTTTAAGAAGCCCTGACAAAGAAATCACAAACAGATCAAGTAACATGCAATATCACAGTGTAGGCTCCTAACCAAGGTTGGAGGCTGCCATTACTAGACTCTCAGAACCAGTGCTAGTTCACTTTGGCAGCATCATACACAGTGACATGCACTGCTTCTGGGACTCAGCCAAGAGGAGCCTCAAGCACTGGAGCATTAAGTAGGAATGGATGAAACCCCCGCTGTATACATGAGGGGGAATTTATCAAAATTAGAGCAGACAAAATCTGGAGCCGCTGTGCATGGCAACCAATCATCTTCTCTCTTCGGTTGTTCAGTTAAGATTTGAAAATGAAAGGGAGAAGCTGATTGGCTGCCATGCACAGCTGCTTCAGGTTTGATAAATTCCCTCCATTGTATGACAACAGTCGCTGTCAGAATACCCAAACGGTTCATTTGGCAGAAGATTTTCCAACACCTTTCTTCGGGAAAAGCCGATCTAATGATCGACTTCTGCCAATGGAATAGGATCACCAACGATATTAATTTTGCCTGATTCCTGCTGAAACGGCCAAAATTCGCTCCATGTATACCCAGCTGTAGTTGTGGTAGATAACTGCATCCTTTATATCTCAAATAACCTGGTGGGTAATAAAAAGAGTAGAGTCTGTATGTCAGAGCACCATCATTCCTTCCTACTGTAACTGACCACAAATAAAAAAATGTATCAAATTCAAATTCCATTCCTAATCTTCACATTTTATCATTTCTAGATTTGATGGAAGGAGACCTCTGCAAAGTTAGAATTTAGGAGAATCCTCACCAAATATAGGAGTTTCTCTAGCACAGTCAGAGAGGACAAACTGCAGTTTGTTTACATTGCGTAAACACATCCGTCATTAATCTCCTCCATTGACTTGAGTGGATGAAGAGATTACATAAGGATTTAAGAGACTTTTAGATTTTTTTTTTTCTATTTTAAGTATACTTCCTGAAGATTAATTTAAGAGATTAACCTCACAGAAATCACCCAACAACCTCTTGTAATTAAAAAAAGTTGCAGAAATATCTTACCTCTAAAACATCTGATGTAGGCTCTAGCAACTACTACTTTTTTTTGCTGGCTGCCATTACCACACACAGATAGGAGATTCCATAAATGGCTCCTGAAGGATCCTTGGTACACCTACTGTGGAGATGTCCCAAATTGGTTCGATATTGGGGTGCAGTGCTCAAGGTCATTCACTCTGTTTTCGGTATACTGTTAGATAACACACCCAGAGTCTGCATTCCATGGATTTGTACACCAAATTGGCTATACATAGAACCCTATTTACCGCTAGGCGTCTGGTGGCAAGGAAATGGATACCCACCTCCTCTCCCTCATTATCTGAATGGATCTCTGAGTTAGATCAGATTGTAATGTTTGAACGCATACTTATCAATATATAATGGATTAGAGGTGATACATTCTCTTTGCTTTGGTCCAAATGGCTACAATACCGTACACAGTAAAGGTATTCTTGAATTTCTTTATATTATTATCATTTAGACATATGAGTGACGTATATGTGAGCTCAAGATGTAATTTGATTACTCTAGATCCAAGTCTATATGTTCCTCTTTGTTTTACAGTGGTGATGTAAATGTTAATATGTGCCTAGGTGATTTGACATTAACAGTCTAGTTCCCTGATATTGTTTTAAAGTGACATTAAGGGCAAAAGTTTTTTTTCCCCTGCCCCCACAGTGCTAATGTAAGGACTTACCTTAAATGATGCATCTTAATCCGATCATCTTCTTCGTTCCTGTAGTTTTCAGCTGTCCGTCCAGCGCTGGTGCCGGTCTCTGATCCTGCGCTGACTTCTCTGTCCTCCTTTTCTCTCATGTCCTACGGAGTCTGTGCGGGTGCACGCTGCTCCATAGACTTACCTTGTGTCTCTCCTCGTCTCCCGGCCTAACATCTGAACTGCGAATGCGCCCGCCCCAGAAATTTGCGGATGGGAGCGCACGGCGGAGACACAGGTAAGTATTAACCCTTTGAAAAAGTTTATTTTTTTATCGTTTTGCCTATATCTACTGCGTGCTAGCAGTAGATATATGCAAAAACATGCGAGGGTTTAATAACCCTTTAATGATATGTGCATACGGTGGGTGTCTCCCCCCCCCTTTTTTGTTTCATCTGCTGTTTTATATTCTCTTTTTATAATGTTTGTCAAAAGAAAAACCCAATAAAAATGATCCGATTTAAAAAAAAATTATGGCTCCTGGAAATCACAATAATCGGACTCTGCAAGCAATGTAGGCATGTCTTAAGACTTCCATACACCTATCATTTAACAGTAAACATGATCCCATGAAGGAAAAAAATATTTGACCAAAAGCCACTTTTCAACCATATATATGTCCATTTATTAGCACAATGCCATGTATTTTCAGGAACTAACGGTTCCTGCATTCACGTGGTATACATACCTTCTCTGTTTCACTGTTCACTTATTGTATTTATTTTACATACTAGCGCTGTTAAATTTGGTTAAAACAACTGTGCATAGTAACCAATCTGCTTCTAGCTTTCATTTTTAAAGCACTACTGAACGAGCTGAAAATAGCAGCTGATTGGTTACTAAGCAGAGTATGTTCCAGTTTTAGTAACTGCACCCCAATGTATCTTTTCCTCTTTACAGAGGAGAAACAGTACAGGGAAGCATTCTAAAGCTAGTGATTACTGAGACTGCCTATCACAGTGATCACCTGATCAAGAGCCAGTCCTCCTGACTCCCAATCATTAGTCATAGACCAGGAGTTGCTGTTAACAGCTTGGTCTTCGTGCTGGGGGTGTGGGATTAAGTGCACTCCCATAACAAACCCAGGTATGCAAATGTGCATCATTGACAGCTCAGTCTTTATGTTGATGGCACAAGATCAAGCTTGCACCAAGCACAAACATGGGTATATGCATATATGCAGCGCCATGGAGGAAGCCCACCTCTGTGGTGACACATATATGTGCGACAATGACAGGAAGGGATTAACAACGCAGAATGAGAAGCACTGGGGGGCTGAGTGCAGGGTAAAGTATGGGGGAGAACGTGAAGGATTGGGTATATATATGAGGTATGTGGATTGAAAGGAGATCAGGGCAGGGAGAAAGAGAATGAAAACAGGGGGGGGGGAAGTAATGGGGAATTTGGGTAAGAGGTGTGCTGGTATGATGCTACAAATGATTGGGTCCAAGAGCAACCTCCTATGTAAGTGTTCTCTGTCGATCCACTGGTACCAAATCTTGCAGAATTTTTTAGCCATCCCTTTGAACTGTTAAGGTCCTCTGTAAGTTTAATGGGTTCTCTGAAACCACATCAATATGACTAGCACAGTGGATTGTTTCTGGTGTGGGGATGCTGCATACCAATTGTATTAGAATGGAGCAGTACGTAATGGTGGTGAAACAGAAAGAGTGTTACATCTGGTGAGACATGGAAGTTGATGACATTTTGTGTCTTCTACCTCTCCAGATTCCAAAAGGTCCCATTACTGTTGGCCTACATTGTGACATACTAGAAATTGTTTCATGCAGACTTGTCAAGTTACTAAAGGTCAAATTTAAAGAGACACTGTCACCTTGTCCATTCAGAGAAAAGTGATGGCGTCTGTGTAAAGACCCCACTGACCCATGGATACTCACGTCATAAGCAGTCCCTCTCCAGACCCTCCTCTGTTACTGCCAGTTTAAAATACCTGGTGCTAGCGGGTATGAAGGAGCATGTGACCTCCTCCCATGATGCAATGCTTGACCCTAGCAACCAACTGCCAGGTCCAAACTAAAGCTGGCCATATCCTGTTTTATTTTTTTCGTTCAACGTGTGGGCTGAACGAAACCGGTACAACAGTTTCCTCTATCAACGCTTACCAGCGTTGATGAACCAATCCCCCGCTGTTCTGCAATGTAATCTGACAGTGTCCGCCAGCCGCTCTCAGAATACATGAACAGTTGGCTGCTAGCACGGTTCATTTGAAGATTTTCCAACCGGCTCCTTTGATCAAGGAATGGCAGCCGGAAGGGTGCCTGTCGGCACCCACTGTGTGAATTTCAGTCGGTTCTTCAAGAACTGGCCCAAAATCACATGGTGTATGGCCAGCTCAAGTCACGTGGCAGGGGTAGGGTGACATAACTGCTCTCTCTAAGCTCCGACATCAGCAGACACTGGTTATTTTGCTGGAGGAGGGAGGATTGGTGGGGGAGCAGTGGCAAGGTAAGTATCAGCAGGCCGGGGTGTCCCCTTTACACTGTCCCTGTGCCATGAATGATGGCTCTAACACTTGTATACTAATACTGTATTTAAATAAACACAGACTCACCGACTCTCTGCAGAACAAACAATGCCTGCAGTCCATCAGACCAAATAAAGACATTTTTTGTGTTCCATCGTAAGTTCTAAAAGGAAAAATACACAACAATTCAATGGTTACACATATCACCTTCATTAAATCCCTTAGAATCCATGTAATAAAGAGGAACATACCATGAGCCATACGTGTAGTGACACGCTGAGCGCCAAGTGCAGAGCGCACAGGATGACAGTGACCTGAAATCGCTGACACAGCAGGCCCAGGAGACCAGCTTGGAAGACAAAGGTGTTGAAGAGCATGAGAAACAAGACGATTGCTGCGAAAAGGATGCCCACATCCTGCAATCTGAAAGGACAAGAAGATACCATGATGACAGCAGAACTCCGTTATATTATTTGTTGAAAGAGACAACCGTGACTTACATGAAGAGCACAAGCTGGATAACTGGAGCTGAGCGCAGCAACTCGGAGAATGAATTGACAAACAAGTCATATATGAGCAGCAGAGACTGCAGGGAGAGCACCAGGCTGTAGTTACCAGGCTGCAGCATCCTCTACTACACCGACCTGCACACAGAGACAAGGAATATTAGAATTATTATAACTATACAAGGTTTATATTGTGCAGTGGCTTAACAATGGAGAGACAGTACAGTTGCAATACAATTTAATACAGGATGGTTAGGAGGGCCCTGCTCGTGAGAGCTTACACTCTAAAAGGGAGGAGGGATAAGCGATACAAAAGTTAGTAACTCTGTTGGGAGAAGTTATTTAGGACAGTAAACATTCAGTTGCTAGGTAGAGGAGGGATAGGATTCCCAGAAGAGGTGAGTTTTCACCTAAAAAGTAAACAGAATTGAAGACAGCCGTACCGATTGGGGTAGGGAGTTCCAGAGTATGGGAGAGACTCTAGAGGAGTCCTGGAGGTGGCCATGAGAGCAGGTGATGAGGGAGCTACAGTAGAGAGCAGGAGGTCTTGGAAGAGCGAAGAGGACAGTGATATTTTGAGACAAGGTTGGTGATGTAGCTGAACCCAGCTGAGACGTTCAACTCAGTACAATCTTGATAAACTGCTTCCAAGCACCGCCTTTCAAAGCTTACTCTTACCAGGCCCTTAAAGTGTATCTTTTTTTTGATACAGTGAGGAAGGGTAAGAACCCCCGTCAGGCTTTACTGCTATCCAAGCCTCCATTAGAGAGGCCAGCAGTTTACTAGACAACAATAAAAAGCAAACGGGGGTTCTAGCCTTTATTAACAGAACTCTGAAAGCTGAGCCCAACAAAAGGCAGGCAGAGGGCAAAGGACTAGTCACCAATATTGCCTGTGGTCTCTTTGCAGCTGAGGGTTTCCTATTACTGACTTACCATACCTTGTTCTGCACTGCGCCTCTGTGGGGAGGCAGCCATCTTGGTAGAGGCAGGGCTTTACCTCCTCCTATCAGAGCCTACAGCAAGGAAAACTGGGCAGCACAGTGATGACATCAAACACTCACTTCTGTGTCACTGTGGGGTAGTTTCATTTACTTCCAGCCTGCTGAAAGCAGTGTCCATAGGACAGCGAATACACGGAAATGACAGAGCCCCAGACAGCAGTAAAACCCGAGAGGAGTTCTAATTCTTCCAAACTCTAACAATTAAAAAAATAAAAGTTTGGTCTGTAGATCCAGCCTGTGCTTTACCCACTCACGCTTGTATGAGTCCCCTCTGCGTATACTTACCTTTCCTTCACTCCCCCACCTATCCGTTAAGGGCCCTGTCACATCATCAGGAGCGCGTTTGAGTGCGCTCGGCCTCTGAAACGCAACCTGGCTGTTTTTTTGGGGGCAGGAGGGGGCATGGCGGTGCATTGAACTCAATGGCACCGTAGCCCCGCCCCCGCCCGTGGTGCGATTGCCGGCACCCAAACACGTGGCACATTAGTGCCTGCTTTCCGGTCCAGTGCGATCGGCAAAAAATAGTGCATGCAGCATTTTTTGCAGATCGCACTGGCCTGGAACGCAGGCACCAATGTGCCACATGTTTGGGTTCTGGCGATCGCACCGCGTGCGTGGCTGCGGTGCCATTGAGTTCAATGCACCACCACGCCCCCTCCCGCCCCCAAAAAACGGAGCCAATCGGGTTGCGTTCCAGAGGCTGAACGCACTGGAACACACTCCTGATGGTGTGACATGGCCCTTAAGCATGCATGTGCAAAGCACAGGTTCACTTTATGTGTATTCCGAACCTTGTTTTAGCTTCGGATGGAGTGGGGAAGCATTAGACCCTCTGCTGGGTTTTTACATGCTCCCCCAGACCCTCAGCTGGGTTTTTACTGCTCCCAATTAATGTGTCCCCATTGGGTAGATTCACACCTCCTGGTGGTGGTGTGCTTTGTCCTGGTGACCACTGTCATCAGGAAAGAAAGTCAGGAGACATCCAACATTGTCCAAAATAAGAAATAAGGAGAATTCTAACGGGGGCACATTTGCTGGGGGCAACTGTCTATGAGGGGGAATTCTACTCATTTTGGAAGGTTTCCTCTAGCATCCAATCTCAGAAACAAAAACAAATAACCTGGCAGGGGGTTTAAAGGAGCACTATGAGATGAGTGATTTCCACTCACCTCATAGTTCTAGCCGACCTGTGACAATGAGACTGTCACAGGTCGGCTCAGTAGATCGGGAGGTGAGCGAACACATATCGGGTTCGCTCCCCTCTCGATCCTGTCACAGCTCTCTGCCGTGACAGGGGGAGGGCTGGATTCCCCTCTCCCCGCTCCGATCTGCCAGCGCTGACTGGCGGAACGGAGGGGGGAGGGTACAGGTGGCTCTGCCTCTAGATAGGCAGAGCCAGCTGTCACTCACGCAGCTGGGCAGATCCCGTCATCTACGTCGGGATGCGCTCCGGCGTCTCAGTATACCGCGAGCTGTAGCTCGCAGTATACTGAGCTTAGGGTAACGGGAGGACGCTAGTTTGTGTCCTCCCGTTACCCTAAGGAGAACTATGGGGAAAAACACTGACCCCCATAGTTCTCCTTTAACCCTTGGCTACTCTATGCAAAAGCTTTGGTTATATATATATATACACACACATTTTACAAACACCCTGCACAAAACTCCAAAGTTGAGAAATGGATATTACATTTCTTTCCATACTCGTAGCTTTAGATGCAGGAAGGAGATACAAAAGCACACATAGAGCAATAAGTGTGCTGATACACTATACACATGTGTCAGGGGAATGGAAGAATCTGATGAATGGGAGCACACACTGCAACACAGGTCAGTGCAGTCTGCAGGGCTTCCAGAAGAATACAATGCATTGTAGATTGTCTAAACATAGTGCAGAATTCAATTCATTGTAGACAGAGCAGTCCCTATAATGAGGCTAATGCCTCAGGTGGCATCTCTTTGGGTCATGTGGGGGGCAGCAGACATGCTTGTTGTATACTGCCCCCTCCCGTCTCAGAGCCTCCCAGATTGCTAAGAGGTCGGGCAGGGATATGTGTAAGGGCCACTCACTTCTCCATGCCCAGCTCCTGGCAACCAGTGACCCTCTGCAAAAATGTTGGGATGCCTCTGATTGTAGATTACAATTCATTGTAGATTGCCTGAGCATAGTGCAGAATACATTGGAGGGCATTTACTACGACTGGAGTAGACAGAATCTGGAGCAGTTGTTCATGGCAACCAATCAACTTCTAGCTTTCATTTTCAAAGCATAACTTAACAAGCTGAAGGGTTACTATGGACAAATACTCCAGGTTCATGTAGTGTAGATTGTCTGAGCATAGTGAGGCAGGGGTATGGGAAGGGTAAGAGTACAGGTTTAGTGTGTGATCTGTCACACTCTGGCTGATGTGGCACTACTACTCTCAGCATGCTACTACACCCAACGTCCTAAGATATCATACCAGTCACACATAGACACACTGCTATTGTCAGGGGGTAAGGACAGGAACACCGGGGAGGTCGATCCTGAATTCAGATGCTCCGATAATATACACACAGACGATGGCTATACACACACGATTTTTAGTGAACGGAACTCCGTCTCCAAGGCCCGATCAAGCTAAACTTCCACCGCCATCATCCTGCTGTGCGCGATGCCATGACAACAATGATCTCTAGCCATGTGATCCAGACGCACGGTGACGTTCTCCCAAGGGCGGCCATATTGGATGTGGGCAGTACAGGTAAAGTTTTCTAGTGGGGTGCTCGAAGTGTTTGTATTTTCAATCACTGAAGAGGCGTTTCAATTATCAGACGTTGTTCGTCTATGGGGCTATCACATCTTTGCTGGCTTCTTCTGGGAGCTGAGTGAGAATACATTTTTTTCAGGGTTCCTATGGATCAGATGTGTGTGTGTGTATGGATCAGACACAGGAGAGTCCATTCAAAGATTTTACAATTGACACCTTCAATCTTTTGATCGTAGGATGTCGGCCGGAAGGGTGCTGACAGTGGCACCCACTGTATGAATTTCGGTTCATGAAGAATTGGCCGAAATTCACACAGTGTATGACCAGTTTTAGATTTATCAAATCTGTTTAATAACAGGACACCTAAACAATCCATAAAGTCAGACAGGCCCTTGCACTACATATCCAATGGTAGACAGAGGCGTATCAGCTGTAAGGCAAACAAGGCGTTTGCCTTGGGCGGCACTTTCTAGGGGGGGGCAGCAAAAATGCTGCCCCCCCCCATAACAGACAGGCGTGCTGGGCTGTACTGAATCTGGCAGCCTCAGCTGCCGGGTCCCGAAAGCGCTGGACTTACTTTGCCAGCATTTTGTTGCCCTGTCCCAACTTTTTGGAGAAGTGTTGCTGCCATTTGTTTCTTAAAATGGTACATTTTCTCAGTTTAAACATTTGATATATTTTATTCACGATAGAAAAAAGGAAACATGAGTTTATGAGATTTGCAAATAATTGCAATTCTGTTTTTATGTAGATTTTATACCCAACTTTTTTGGAATTGGGGTTATACAATCAGATTGTATAGTGAATGGTCATGTTGTTGCCAAAAAGGATACCACTAAACCAGCAACTGATCTATTGCCAGTCACCAGGCATTTGTTTTGGTTACTGTATTTTTCAAATGGATGTAAAGTTTAGAATGGTGAGGGGATAGAACCCCTGTCACATTTTTATTGTGATGTCCGTCCACCACTACAGAAATTCACCTTCTCATTTGACCTGGTGACCACTCACTGGGACTGGAAGTGAGGGGAAATCAAAAATTCTGAGTTGTTGTCAGAATAGAAATAGAAAACTATGATTTGCCTCCTCTATGAGGGGAACACCCATTTTAGGTGTACCCCTTAAATCTTGTGTCACGATAAATAAAGAAATGAATATATATATATATATATATAGTAAAATACAGTAAATTCACTGATAACATCTCTAGCTCCCCTCTAATAGGTACTAAAAAATATATTACAGGGAAATCTGGTTGCAGTGTTTGGATGTATAATATAAATCACAGATGTGTAATGAAAATATCTCCATTCATACATATTTCCTCCTGTGAAATAATCACAACAACATCACATTTCATCATGTTTATTGATTGGAATAATGTCAGGAATGTAACAGAATAGATCACAATGGCTGATGTTATGAGCTTGAATTGCACAGTTTGGTCCATTTGGTTCTTATTAGAAATTACAGATAAAATATTCGTACTTAGAGAAGAATTCCCAGACTGCTGCACAGTAAAATGTATGTTGCATCCTAAACCAAATGATAGGAATACACCAGGTAATATTTGACGTGTAGGTCCACACATCAAACATTACGACCTGTAATTTGTTACTTATTAAAGCAGCATCAAAACAAATCAATTGTTCCCTGATGGAACGCCTACTAAGGGTGGAAATATTTGGCTCTCCATTTGATTTGCGTTGATGTTACTTTTAAAGAGAAGCAAATAAAAGTTCTGAAGCAGGAACACAATTAAAGAACAGAGAACTCTCCTTTAAATCAACTTTGAGATGATATATGTAGCAGGAAGTCCTCAATTTTCTGTAACCTTGGGACCCGCTTGTATGTGCATAGCAATTGCCCACATGATTTCTTCTATTAACATTATTACCAGATACCGTATTAATTGGTCAATGGTCTGGGAGAGGTCACCGCAGCAAAAAGGACTTCTCTCTAATTAACTAGGGTCACATAAAGAAAGCCAGGCCAATGTTCTAACTCTTTCCACTCTAATACCAAGCAAAAATCTTTGGCAAGAGTTGAATAACTATTACATATGAAAGGGAGAACTGGATAAATCTGTATGGAAAGCAGAAAACACTTTAACTACTTCCTTTAAAAGGCAAACTGCAATATGTCAATCAAGCCATATTTTAAGCATTTTCCTTTAACCCCTCCCATATAGCCTTCAAGATGGCGGCAGCAGCTTTGGCTCCAGGATCCGGCCGGGTGAGAGTGGAAGATCCGATGTAACTGGCCCTGCCTGCTCCAGCTGTCATGTGTTTTGTGTCTTCTGCAGCATCAGAGGCCCTCTATAAAGAGTCTGTCATTAGGTGACCGCAATACATTACCAGAGATTGTTCTCACACATACAATACGCCTGCTAATCAACGTTACCTTCACTGCACTGTCGAGGATCTCCATTACATCAGAGCCAGGGTCTTTGAGTGATTTGAGGACATTGTTCGCAGCACACAGAGAGTCCAGCTACAATACAAGCTATATTATGTAAGATCTTCAGTGAAATAGACAGATATAAAAGGAGCTGAACAGGTACTTACCATTGTCCTGTCTCCAACCTCTGCTCCACCATATCTAAGTGGGTACAGAAAGATGAACTAATCAGTTTCTGTAGGTGTGTACTGTAGGTCATCTATTATTCTAGAGCAGGGGTGCCCATTAGGTAGATCGTGATCTACCAGTAGCTCTCAAAGCTGATGCTGGTAGATCATGAAGGGTGTGAATGGCGGCCCCTTTATTCCATGTTGGTATATTTATTTAGCTGTGCACACATGATTACCTATTAGCCTGAGTCTGCTGAACCAAGCTCCCTGACACCATTCTGGTGGATACTGGTGGTTGTAGTGCTATGTATTACATCAAGGAATATTAGCTTACACAGCCTGTTGCACTGCACTGTTTGCAACATACATCAAGGTGAGCCAGGAGAGAGTGCGGGGAGAGACAGCCAAGGGTGAGAGAGAGAGAGACAGCCAGGGGAGAGGGCAAGGAGAGACAGCCAAGAGAGAGAGAGGAGAGACAACCAGGAGAGAGAGCGAGGAAAGACACCCAGGAGAGAGAGGAGAGATAGCCAGGAGGATGAGCAAGGAGAGACAGCCAGGAGAGCGAAGAGAGAGAACCAGGAGAGAGAGCGAGGAAAGACAGCCAGGAGAGAGAGGAGAGATAGCCAGGAGAGAGAGGAGACATAGCCAGGAGGATGAGCAAGGAGAGACATCCAGGAGAGATAGCCAGAAGGATGAGCAAGGAGAGACACCCAGGACAGAGAGGAGAGATAGCCAGGAGGATGAGCAAGGAGAGACAGCCAGGAGAGCGAGGAGAGATAGCCAGGAGAGAGCGCAAGGAGAGACAGCCAGGAGAGAGAGGAGAGATAGCCAGGAGGATGAGCAAGGAGAGACAGCCAAGAGAGCGATGTCATTAGAAAAGTAGATCTTAACACAAAAATTGTGGGCACCCCTGTTCTAGACTATAGCATATATGTTGCAGAGCAAGTCTACGTTTGTTAAAGAGAAAGAGCCATGTCTATATCCTGTGGTGCTAGCTGTCCTGTACAAAGTTGTGTATACACCATGCACTAAGGTTAGGACACAGACAGAATTCATTCTCTGCAATCAGACCTGAATCAAAAGTGCAAAGAAGCCGTGCACTGACCTGTCAATGTTAAAAAAAATATTCAGGTCCTCCTGCCTTTGGCACATTTTGCCCAGTCTTTAAAACTTACAGGGCAAAAGTCTTTATAGGAAAGAAGACTCGCAGGGTGGCACTTGTTGACCTGAATATCAAAGTTTGTTTTAGCACTGACACTGCAAAGTTCTTTTTATTGATCCTTTGACTTGTGCATATACACTGAGTGGGCAGATTATTATGACCACCTGACGTTTGTAGGGAAATTAGCTATAATTTCGTGCTGAAGTTGCTAGAGGGCCAGAGCATTATAAATAGGGAAACAGGTTGTTTACCACAACAGTAGAAGTGATCTGTTTTCTGAAGATTTGGGTAAACAATGCGATTTAACAGCCTTTGAACGTGGGATGATTGTTGGCGCTCGGAGCCAGGGAGCGAGTATCGGCAAAACAGCAGAATTCGTTAAATGTTCAAGAGGGGCTCATTGTTAAAGTGTTTAAAGACTGGACTGTCAGCCGAAAATCTGGGTCTGAACGTGTGAGTTGTGGCCGTCAGCGACTAGTCAATGTTAGGGCAGAACGGAGAGTGGCAAGACTGGTACAAGACAACAGAAGGGCAACTGTGCAGTGTCAGATTCCTCGCATCACCTTTCAACATATCGTGGAGTAAATGCCAAGAAGAATCGACGCAGTATTGAAGGCAAAAGGTGGCCCAACGAAGTGCTGATGGGGTGGTCATAATAATCTGGCCACTCAGTGTATGTCAGATATGGGACCAAATAGACTTGGCAGCAGTGTCATGCAGCAGAAGGTATATACACTGAAGGTATATACTGCGGCGTCTCAGTATACCGCGAGCTACAGCTCGCGGTATACTGAGCCTAGGGTGACGGGAGGACGCAGATATAAGGCTGTGGGCACAGGAATGCCTACGCGCACTTACATATCAGGAAGAGCTAGAAGTTCTCTATAACATATGGGTTGGAGGAGTGGAAACCATAATCATTGAGGGCCTGTTCACACGACTTCCGTTTTGTGTGCTGACCGGATCCGTACCCTGCTGCACTCAAAATGCATCCCAATGTATCGCTATGTGTTTTATGGGCTACAGTTCTCACGTGCGCAGTCCATTCAGCTTACGACAGAAAAAATACTGCATGTCACATTTTGTCCGGTCCGGAAACGCACGAACGCGCACGAAACGCAACCAAAGCGGAACGGAAACGCAACGCAATGCAGCGAAGGAAAAAGCTAAGGAAAAAAGTGACCTCAGAGGCTGAATCTGCATACTGACAGCCCCTTGGCTAAAAAAAAAAAAAAGAACTGTCAGCATCCGGACCGAAAACGCGTCAAAAACGCATCAAAAACGCACTGCATCAGCAGCTCCACGTCTGCTGATCAGCACCTGATCAGGACCTGATCTCATGTGAACAGGCCCTTATACCAACAAAAAAAAGACATTAAAAGCCACCCATTAGCCCCCTTCCATGAAACACAGCGAGATAGTTGTTACTAAGGCCTTTGACGCCCCACAGCTGCCTGACAAATTGGATGGTGGATCAGGATGATGTAATGTCTACAGTACTTTCAGCTTTTTATTAAAGCCCACAAACCATGACTCTGACACACACACAGACTACTGTCCCTTTGACCTTTACCTCTTCATGGCCTCAATCCCAGCATCCATTGCAGCTGCCCAGGCACCTGCTCCAGATTCATTCTCCAAGGGCCTAGCTGCTGCCATCAGGAATAGACTATACAGCTAAAAGAAAAACAAATGACATATAAGTAAATACACATCTGCATGTATAATAAAATATAGAATTTCACATCTTCAAAATACACAATTTTCACTAATAAGGTTACTTATTTAAAAAAACTAAATGTATTTGCTGTGGCATATACAATTTGTGTGAAGGAAACAAAATACAGTGTCAGCCATAGCACCCTAAGGGTGTGTTATCCTGCAAAGGTGCTTTCTAGGTGGTACTTAGTGCCCTCCCGTCTCTGTCACCTCCATCCGACGTGCTCTAATATTTGCTTAAAAAAAAACTTTTTTTCTTTTCTTAATCGTTTTGCATATATCTACTGCTTGCTAGCTGAAGATACGGTATATGCAAAAACAAATGAGGGTTTAATAACCCTTTAAGTGTCCTTTCTATTATTGAGTTTATGGTCTACAGTGACCCCCAAATCTTTCTCCATTCCTACTTAATGCTCTTACCGCACCAGAAGTGCCCCCCATCTTCTCCAACAATACGTTTGACAATGCAGCAAGGAAGCGTGATGGCTGGGAGGGCAGATTCCCGCTGCTTATCCACTCACTGATGGCTGAAAAGATTCCACAATTCAACAATATGTATTCCGAAAACTATACAACAAATCTGCGTTATATGGCAATACCCACCGTGCGCTGCCCGCGCATGTGTGTTCCCGCAATCGCCATCCCCAGCAGCACGGTCTAAATCATTCAGCTCATCCTTCAGAGCCAGTAGGGAGCTGCACACACGTTTCAGCACACGCTGGTAGACCTGCACATACATGGCTAGCACACATACATGTATAATGAGTATTTTAGTAGCAGTGTAAGGCGTAATACTTTGCTACTACAGACATTGTAGTGATAATGAACAGCAAAATGAGATGGCAATGCAGAAAAACATCAACACAGACTTTTGTCATGATCAGTGTTTTTGGGTCTTAATAGGTTGCTTCACCTAAAACACTGAAATAGTTTTGGAAAGAATAGGCAGGGTTAAATCCCTCAATGAGGCTTTTCTATGACCATCCCCACCCCCTCCTCTCCTCCTCCAATCACAGTAGGTCTTTTATTCTTTGAGCAAAAATACATTTTGTGAATGGGCATGTAGTGTGCAGGAGTGGGGATGCAACTGGAGGACTTTGCTGCTTGAGTTGCATCTCTAATTCTCTTCAGCACCCGGAAGCCAAGAGTTATTTATAGGAAACTGCATGCAGCAAGGTAAGATTTGTATACCTGCATAACATACAGCTTTTCAATGATAATTTACACACCCAGCGCAATGTGTAAATTATCATTTTTACATGGGGGTTGGCTTTAAGCTCACCAGGCCTATACAATCTCCTTTAGATCTACCAACAACAATGTAGTGGAAGGGCATGCTTGATTGAACACAAGTTGATTTCATGGTTTAGGGAAATGCTTATATTGCATAGTTTTGGTAAATCTAAATGTGATTGTAAAAGCTAGGGATGCACTGATACCGGTATTTCGATATCAAGTACTGATATTTTTTTTTCTGTACTCGCCGCCACCGAAAGTCCCATTAAGGAAGCCAGGCGCCGTGTATTGACTCGCCACCTGGCTTCCTGATTAGCTGGGAAGCCGGGCGGCGTGTAAGGGCTAGCCACCCGGCTTCCGGATTAGCAGGGAAGCCGTCCCCATGCTTCTCATCACTAGGTGACAAGAAAGCATGGAGCCTGTGTAATGACGCAGCACCCGGCTTCCTGATTGGCCCGGGAAGCCGGCTCCATACACCATCGTCATGAGGTGAGAGCATAAACCCGGTCATTACAGGGCGCCCGGCTTCCTGATTGGCCAACTTCCCAACCATTCAAGAAGCCGGGCATCGAGTCATTACACGCTGCCTGGCTTTCTGATTTGCCGGGAAGCTGGCTCCATGCTCGCTCGTCACTTGTGACGAGGGAGCCGGCTTCCCAGCCAATCAGGAAGCCGGGCAGCGTGTAATGACTTGCTGCCCGGCTTCCTTATACCAGAAGTATCGGGCTAGGCATCGGAGCATTTGGGCGAGTATGAGTACTCACCAAAATACTCGCCATCGGCACCGATACTAGTATCGGTATCGGTGCATCCCTAGTAACAACATTGTATGGTCAGACTGTAACTGGTTTTGTAAGTTTGGCATGACAAGCAGGTCTTTAGTCAGCCAAACATCCTGATTCTTTTTGGTGGAGTGCATTCTCCATATAGAACTGTAGAAAATTTACTAAGGAGTCCAGTAACATCATAGCTTTCTTTGCTACGTATCCATATGTGTATATATCCATTATTCTAAATTCTGTATGTGTACACGCAGACTGCATACATGGTTCCACTTTAAACACAAAACAGGCATAGATTTACACACCACCAGGCTCTGCTCTTTCAGGCTGAGTATTTTCAGGAGCACACTGAATAGTCCGGGTCTGACCTGTCACTTGAACACATGGGATACGAGGCCATGCAGGAGCAGATGTAACTTTATCTAAATAAGAACAGTGCAAAAAGGGGAATGAAAACATTAGATGAGGCAGAAGAACTTTATCACTCTGGGACTATAAGCAATGCTAACTACATGCACAGAGATTCCTGTTATTACCAAAGAGTCGCACAAGCTCTGCTGTCGTCTTCATGATGGTGAGAGAGACGCCACTCATTTCAAGGGCAGTCATGAAAGATCCAGTGATTGCCCGTTGTATCCGCAGTCCCTGACTTTCTAAAAAGTAAGACTCAACGTCAAAAAGAGTTGTGGAATTAGTTTACTGGAAGGGTGTGATCCCAGTATAGATTAAATATTTATTTTACTAACCCAGTAGACGCACAACTGTACTGGCTACAATCTGCAACTCCAGACAGGATAAGCCTCCCAAATTATTTACAATTATGATAACCGAGTCACCTGGAAAGATACAAATGAATATTAAAGACTAAATGCACACAGATATTTTGTATTATCTTTATTTGAGCATAATTTATTTATTACAAGTATTTATACCTGACAGTGCAGCGCTTTACATAGTTGCACATTCACATCAGTGCCTGCCCTCAAGGAGCTTACAATCTAAGGTCCCTATCTCACATGCATATATACAGGACCACTTTACAAAGGAACCATATAACCTTCTAGCATGTCTTTAGAGTGTGGGAGGAAACTGGAGTACCCAGTCAAGCCCAGGGGACACATGCAAACTCCTTGCAGATAGTATCCTGACTGGTATTTGAACTGGTGACCCCCAGTGCTGCAAGGCAGAAGTGCTAACCACTAAGCCACTTTATAAACAAAACAAAATCAGTGTGAGAGCCTCCACAACATTAGAAGACACTTAACTGTTTACTGTTTCCGTCTATTACATAGTGGAAAGATGCCCTACACATTTTTATTTGTGGTTCATCGTCCTGTCTGCAAAGAATAAAAAGTACCATGTGCCTTAAACTATAACTGCAGTCTTCTTTTGTCGTGGATTGTGAATTTTTAATCTCTCTTTGTGCCCCAGCAGGGAGATTTCTCAAATCTTCCTGTACCAAGAGACACAACAGGAAGTGGCAATATACCCAAAAAAAGGAAAATGCCACTTCTAACAGTCTCCACCACTGGAAGATGTCCTGGGGACAATGGTGTGGACAAGTTAGATCTCCCCAAAGGGAACATGGGTAGCACAAAAAAACCCAACTCTTCTCCACCCTATCAAAAAATAGAAAAAAAAAGGTTTTAGCTAGCGTTATACTTTAAAAAGACTGTAAAACTGTAAAGTGTATTTTTGTAGCCAAACTGGGATAACCTAATTTATATTTGTTACACGTTCTAATTCATATAACATAACTTAAAGTGACACTAAACTCAGGTGTTAAACCTTAAAAATGCCTTCAAGTACCTTAACTATTACCAGCAATGTATCTTATTTGTGTATCACTCGGCTGTAGATCCTCAAATCATCTCTGAATTGGTGCTGACACTGTCCTTCCTTCTGGGTGGTGGCTACTTTTGTTCCCCATGGTCCCTGTGTGTGTTGTAAAGTAGCCACCGCTCCACGCTCGCTCCCATGATGGACTACAATCGCAATACAAATCAGTAAACTAAATATGAGACTGTAGTTCGTCATGGGAGCGAGCTTGGGGTGGTGGTTACTTTACAACATGCACAGGCAACGTTTTCCTTTACAGCTTCTAACACCAGGTGAGTTTAACAAGGGAGAGGGCCTGGACAGTATAAACAAACCTTGCATTTTACCGCATGGTCCACTTTAACTTAAGCAAATGCAGTGTTGTCTTTACTGGTCATACATACTTGGTTTTCAAGCCATTACTAAATAATCATAGCACAGAAAACATGAGTTAAGTACCTGTTAACTTTGTTTCCAGGAATCTTCCAGGGCAGCATCTGAGGGGAATCCGTGCTGCCCTGGGAGACGACTTGGGAAAACATGTTCAATAAGACACTACCTCTCTGCAGTGATATTAATAATCTGAATCTACAGAGTCAAAGATAAGGTTCTTAATATAGTTCTTCAGATACTGAGTGCTCATAGTTGTGAGAGTACAATACAAAGCTAGCTCATTGCTCATACTCACCTGGCTGCAAAACCACTCTTGATTTGCTGGTTTCATTGGTCATGTGATCTATCATAATCTTTACAACCTCATCACAAGACATCATCTATTAAAGAAAGATAAAGTAATGGTGCAGCAACAAACAACCTCAATTTAGCATGATACGTTTTCTTTGTTTCCATGCAAATATATATATATGAAAATGGAGCATCTTTATGTAAACAATCTTATACATGAGTGTTTTAACCTTGTTTCTGTGTACATTTATTAATAAATGAATGTGGAGGCAGCCACATTCATTGACCATTATAAATGCAGGCTCTGCCTAATAGTACTACACAATTATTGCATTTCAAGGCTCCCCTTTCTCACTGCAAACCTATGGGTCAGGCCTAACTTCCTTTGCTCAGACATACCATCTATAAGGACATACCATCATTAAAGTGTATGTCTGAGCAAAAGAAACTCTGCAAGAACAGAAAAATACCTGTCCATCGTGCCAGAAATCCAGTGAGCGAATAAATACCTATTCACTCTGCTGCAATACCAAGCAGTGCTATCACCCTGCCCAATTCTCTTCTGTGGACTACAGAAAACGTCCCACTATGTTATTGAGAAGGAGGTGTTCTGTAGTCCTAAAACACTTTCTGTATTAGGGTAACAACGCCGCACCTTCAATGCTGTGAGTGGCTGTTGTCACTCTAGGATAGGAAGTGCATTACTAGCAGAATCACCAGATGACAACATTTAGATGCACTTAAAGCAGTGAATGCTAATGCCATCTCTGATATACAGGTGACCAGTAGAGAAAGCAATCTCTGGATATGAAAACTAATAATAATGCTGCAGAACAGAAAACAAGTAAAAACAGACAAGCCTCCCCAAATATGATTTCTAGGTAAATGTTACAACAGTACTGATATGCATTATAGTTTTCTCTGAACATACTGCACCAGTAAGTTTTAAAATCCAAATTCAGCTAGTGGGGAGATTTTCCCTCATGTCCTGCTCTGTCTGACATCTGGCAGATAACCATGGAGATCCAGACCGTAATCAAAAACATTCTCAGTGTTGAAGTACTCCACAAGCAGCCCAAACTAAAAAAAATAGTCTTGGCTTAAGGTGCACTTTAATTATTAACAATTCCTATATAATGATCACATAAAAACAGGATAGAGGTTCAGACATTTATTGTACAGACCTTGTATCTTTGTACCCCGGCCTCGCCATGTATACCTGCACAGACAAAACCCAAGGCACAAATTCAAAATAGACATGAATAAATATATATTTAAACAAGAAATTCTATTAGCTGAACTAGGGAGAACAGCTAATTAAATAGGACCTTTACCCAAATCTGTAAAATAACAACAAACACACCTTTAGAAATGTTTAGTAATGACAATCTACAATCACATACTTCTAGATCAAGGGTGCCCATTAGGTAGATCGCAAAGCAAACACTGGTAGATCGCGATCAGCTCACTGACCTGAGCTCCCTCCCGCGGTGCTAGTGCGTCTGAATGTGTCAGACGGGAAGGGGTGGGACACCTCTCCCTGTGTGCAACGTCGGCAGATAGAGATAGCAGATAGAAACGGGAGAGAGCGAAGAGAGAGAAGAGACGGCCAAGAGAGAGGGCCAGTTTGCACCACTAAGTGCGTTCCAGAGAGTTCGGCCTCTAGAACGCAAAGAAATTCCATCCGGCTTGCAGCATTTTTGCAGATTGCACTAGAACGGAATGCAGGCACTAATGTGCCTGTGTTCCGGGTGCGCGGCGAGCGCTCTGCTGGCGGGGGGCATGGCTGCCATGCCATTTACTTCTATGCACCGCCATGCCCCTGAACGCACGTGTTTTTTCATTGGTAGATCTCATTGACCTCGTCATGTGAAAAGTAGATCTCCAGACGAAAAATTGTGGGCACCCCTGTTCTAGATAATTGCCGGCTTTGTATTCTTTGCATATCTTATTGCCGTTTTCTTTTCCCAGTGGCCATGTTAACTAAGGCAGATTAATAGCTCTCCTTTTATTTCCTGGATTTGTGACTAGACATGTGTAGGACATGTGACCATGCACATCATCTATGGGGAGGAAAATGCCTTTCCCTGAGATCTCATGAGATTACAGATGAGATTTCCCAGCAATGCTCTGCTGATGACAAGGCAAACCCAGTGTGGATTGCTTTGGCAAGCTGAAGTCATTTTGCCCTTTAAAAGCAGGAAGTGAATGCTCTGCAAGTGTAAGTATTTCATAATCACAGCATTTTACACCTGACATGTCTATGTTATTATTTATCATCATACACAGAGGGATGCAATGGTAGAATTTGATTTTTGAGTGTAAAGGTCCGTTTTATTTCCTTTGTTAAAGGTTCACTTAGCTCTTAACAAGGGTATTCTAGTTACACAAAGGTTTTGATAAATTCCCTTCAGAGTTTCCTATATGCACTCTTTGTTTTCCATTTTAAACGTTTACCCAGTCTCCAACTCCCATAAATCAACCCATTTGTGTGTTCCCAAAAGCATAACCCCATCCCCCTGAAAATATTAATGGCAAGTATTTTCTTACCTAAGCCCAATTCAAACTCATCAGATGCAAGCTGAAATGTAGGTCCTGAACCTGGCACACTGCATGGAGATAGACTGACACCCAGTGTACCTAGAATAACAGAGGAGTGAGTGACTGAGAGCAAATAACTGGCATGAAGCACAATGTAGGTCTTTGCTATATTACAATGGCTGCTAATAGAATACAACTCATATGGTATAAGATGTCTCATAGTTCATGCTAGCTCTGGTATCGGTGCTGCAGCACCACCTTGTGACACATATTGGGTACAGCAGATTTAACATGAAGAAAAGAGAAAAGTCTATTTCAGGCATGTATTTTATGAAAAAAACATCCTACCCCATTTGTCCCCTTCTATAATAAACAATATACGTTTAATGCAAATTGTGTAAAATAAATCCCTGCAGTACATACCTATGCTGCAGAAACTCAGTCACCCATAGTGGCTCTTTAGGCAACCTAGGTCAGTTCCCACTTCATTTAGCTGAGATTATGTGACCTATAAACATTTTCTGATGCACAGGACAAAATACTTTTTAAAGAAGAACTCTGGGCAAAACCAATTAACCCCTGCAGTAGAGCTTCCCCCACACTGGAAGAAATAACTGCCCTTTTTGTCTAAGGGCTAAAAAAAAAAAAAAAAAGTTATACTCACCTGAACCGCAAAGTCAGCTTGTTCTTAGACTGGTCCTTCCAGCCTCCCTTTCCCTCCACTGCAGTGGTCTAAGATCCCACATATAATCATGTTCTATACACTGTGTATATGCTGCACCGCAGAAGGAGATAGGTTTCAGTGACTAGAGAGTCAGGGCGCTGGCTCAACGAAAACTTTTTTTTAAGCACCTACACATAAACGAGCATTTAACCCTTGCAGAGCCAGGGTAGCTCCACTGCAAGGGTTAATAAAAATGTTGCCCGGAGTTCTTCTTTAAATCTAAAATAATAGGAAGCAATTCACTTCAAAATTGTATATCCAGCTAAAACATTTATCTTTAGAGTGGTGAAGGGTTGTCGCTCTGGTCAGGTTTTTACTGCACTCCAGAGTGCAGTCAGAGAGATCTACCCTCACTTCCTTTACTGCTGACATTTTACAAGACAGGCGTGAGGGTAACTCTCCAACACAGACAGAAATAGAAACACTTTTTTTTAGTAGAGTAGGGGAATGCTAAATGTTTCATTTTGCCTGGGTTCCAGCTGCAGATTTTCCCTTAGTTTCTGTCTAGTGAAAACGTTGTCAGCAGGTCAGAAGTAAACATAAATCTCTGTACTGAAGCTCTGAATAGCACTAAAAACCTGACAGGAGGTCTGATCCTTCCCTACACTAGCCAAAACTTTTTTACAGTGTACATTTAGAAAAAATCTACACCCGAAGGCCTCTTTCACACTGCTAAGAGCCGGCACGTATCGGGAAGGGCAGGTGCTGCGTGTGATTATACGCAGCAGCCTGTTCTTCTCTATGGGTGTAGGCGGCCGTACGCTCACACAAACTGCACATCCGTGCGGGTGTCCGTGCTTGGACGCAGACAAGATCCATCCTGTCTGCATCAGAGTACGGACACCCACACGGATGTGCAGCTTGGGTGAGCTTACGGCCGCATACTCACATAGAGAAGAACAGGCTGCTGCGTACAATCACACGCACCTGTTCTTCCTGGGAGCAGCCCGATACGGCTGTGCAAGTCGCAAGGATCTGCACGGGCCGGCTCTTAGCAGTGTGAATGAGGCCTTAATAGCAAAATGTTTTTAATGATAATTTCATTGCTGAACCTCGATGATGAACCAGGTGCAGCTGTTCCATTAGAGAAGTGACGGGAAGTATGTTGTTTTGCTCACCAATTCCAGTTGCAGCTTGTCTGACAAATGAAGCGATTTCGTGTAAACTTTTTCCTTCTTCTGCTAGAGCTCCAGCTATCTAAATGAACAACAGAAAAACGTAATGCCAAAATTTGCTCCCAAATGGGGTGTATGCTCCCTCCAAAACATAACATGCTAATCTCGAATAAACTATTACACTGTTCCTATTTACAAGGGTAGAGAGGGTACATATAATTGTGCAACAACTTGTGCACCACTCCGGCCCAGCATATAATTGTACGTTACAGAGGTTGAAAAAAGACACAGTCCATCGAGTTCAACCTAACCTGTCTGCTGTCACTGTGCACTGAACAATTTGAGTGGTTCTTCTAACCTTATGAATCAAGACAATTCCACACAGGCCACGCCTTCCGGCTTTGCTCGGTGAGATGAAAGCGCAGTCATCTGCGATCACTACCATCTCCACTTCGATACCTTCCCCACGTGCGCGTTCTAGAGCCAAGCCAAAGTTTAGGCGATCACCTGTGTAATTCTTCACCAGGAGCAGCACACCGGCTTGGAGGGAGAAGAGGAATGGAGGAGACACATTAGGACACTGATATCCAACAGGTACTGTACAATTTAGAAAAATAAAAACACAACTATTAAAAGCAAATATCAGCCTCTTACCATTGGCTTTGACCAACCCTTTCATAGTTATCTAAGCTGGAGGTGCTACATGGGCTTCCCAATCATGTACTAACTGTGATTGCCTGTCACAGTGATCAGGTGATCAGGAGCCTGTCCTTCTAAAGGTGCCCATACACTTTACAACCCTCGCAAGACTTTTGTTGCGGGATTTCGTGCAGTGTATGGGCACCTTAACTCCCAATCCCAATCCCAATTTGACTGGAGCTCCAAGTGACAACACGGTCAGGGTGCTGGGGGGTGTGAGGTTGAGCCCAGTTCCAGCGCAAAAGATGTATATATGTGGGTGTTAAGTAAAGCCCACCTCCATGCTGCCGTATATATACATATGGCACAGAGCTCCACACAAACACAAAAGTCACATAATAATGCCGCTCTGCATTCATTAATTCACAATTTAATGTATTTGTTTTTAATGCAAGCCATGCAAGTCCCTGAATTTGACTTGGTATCAGCTTCTTGAAGTCCCTGTATAGCATTGCTCACAATAGGCGAGAAGGAAGCAGCACAAGGAGCCAATCAGCTATGCTGCAGCTCATGTGCTAACAAGGAACGACCTGGTAGGAGGAAAGAGCGGAGCAATAGAGAGATAAGCTCATCAGTCTGCTGCTTCTCATATCACTGTCCAGTCACAGACTGCAGGCAGGGACTAGACCTGTAAGTGTAGCTTAATTGCAGCAGACAAAAAGCAGGATTCCTGCCCTGCCAGGACTGTGTGGCAGAACTGTGTAAATCTCAGGATTGGAGAGAAATTCTATGGTAGGTAAAAAATAAATAATAATAATATATATATATATATACATAAATATTTTTGTATCTGTATTTTGCTGTTTCAGCACAGTAAGACAATAGAGAAAGATAAGACAGACAAAACAGGATAGTAGTACCTGCTCCAGCAAGGGCCACCGTTCTGACTGCAGCTACAATGCTTCCAACTGGCGGTGATGTGAATACGGGACCAGCAATAACTCCAGTGAGCATTCCCTGACCAACGTATCCTGATAGATTGAAGAGTATGCAGTAACATCAAGAGAAAAATAGAAACATAATGCAATATTCATGTATTATTCTGCAGACATTACCTGCATGTGCTGGTTCATGTCCAGAGCCTCCTCCAGACAGAAGTGCTACACGTCCCTTTACATGACTGAGGTCCGCTCGTAGTATGACACGGTGACCTTCTATGACCCTCAGGTCAGGATTGCAACTTGCCAGACCATGCAGAACATCATCAACACAGCCAGAAACAGAGTTCAGGAGCTTCTTACTGACCTAGCACAGGGGAGCCAATCATACTTGTCATGGCAAGAGAATGGACAGTGTGTAGGTTACTGATGCTAACATAATCATGATAAAAAGAGGTAATAAAACTGGCTAAGAATATGCATAAGACCAGACACAAAGCTTCCACCACTGTTAAGTTGACTTGCATGAAGTGCATTTTAAGTAAAACAGCCATAGCTGAGCAGTAATTTTATAAAACAGATAAGAATAGTACAAAACAGGTTACAAACCTCCATATTTCTAAAGTCCGTTAGGTAAGTCTCATATATTCTGTAATAACAGATACAAAAGAGTCAAATTGATCATATAACATAAAATCATATATATATTCTTACGGGGCTACTAAAAAAGGATGTAAAATATGATGATACTGACAGGGAATGTGCAGTCATTGAAGTTCAACATAATGACGGACAGCATAATGGTAGGACAATAACAGCAGGATGCATAAAGAAAGAACAGTGACAGCAGAATGCATAATGACAGGACAATGACAGCATCATGACAGGACAATGACAGCAGGATGCATAAAGAAAGAACAGTGACAGCAGAATGCATAATGACAGGACAATGACAGCATAATGACAGGACAATGACAGCAAAATGCAAAGCAACAACTGTATAATCTACAGGCACAGGATGCATAATAGAGAGCAAGAGGTAGACAGCAGGTGGTATTTAGTGACAGAAAAGAGCAAAAAGAAGTGAAGTTACAACAGACTTGATACAAAGACCTTAACATAATGGGGGAATTATGGCCCAGAATGCTTAATGACAGGGACCTGACAGAGAATGCACAGTGACAGGGGACTGACAAGTCATAATGTATAGTGAAAGGGGGCTGACAGATCAGAATGCACAGTGACAGAGGACTGAGAGCAGAGTACTCAGTGACAGGGGACTGACAGATCAGAATGCACAGTGACAGAGCACTGAGAGCAGAATACTCAGTGACAGGGGACTGACAGATCAGAATGCACAGTGACAGAGGACTGAGAGCAGAATACTCAGTGACAGGGGACTGACAGATCAGAATGCACAGTGACAGAGGACTGAGAGCAGAGTACTCAGTGAATGGGTAATGACAGATCAGAATGCACATTGACAAAGCACTGAGAGCAGAATACTCAGTGACAGGGGACTGACAGATCAAAATGCACAGTGACAGAGGACTGAGAGTAGAATACTTGGTGACAGGGGACTGATAGATCAAAATGCACAGTGACAGAGGACTGAGAGTAGAATACTTGGTGACAGGGGACTGACAGATCAAAATGCACAGTGACAGAGCACTGAGAGCAGAATACTCCGTGACAGGGGACTGACAGATCAGAATGCACAGTGACAGAGCACTGAGAACAGAATACTCAGTGGCAGGGGACTATACATAAAGAGACAAAAAGACGTAGACAAAACCTACTGAACAGAGTTAATAATAAAAAGCTCACATTGAAAACGGGGAAGTCCTGTAAAGCAGCAGTTGCTGAAGAACTTTATACCTGGTTCAGAGTATGAAAACACAGACACGTGACAGTAAGATGTGCCAAGGGTTGTGCAACTGGCCACAATGCATCCTGGGTCCGTTACAAAACCTTTAAGAGTCCATTTGATCCTAAAATAAAGAATAATAATAAAAAAAGACTGTCATTGATCAGTGTGATTACATGACTGTATAGTTCCTATGTATTTATAACTAGGTACGTTTTCATATACATACAAAATGTGTAATCTGGGGGCAGGTAAGAGCGCCTGGAAAATACAGATTGCTTTCTCTGCAGTTTTTCCAGTTTGTCACCTTTGACATTTGGATCATTTATTGATCTTCCATTAGTCATTAATATTAATCCACATAGAAGTACCAATGTTTTCTATTTAGAGGGTAACTCCACTTTAGCATATATAATTGTCACACAAACTATTTTGTAATTTAATGTTATTAAAAGTCAACTTTCCATATAGAATTGTAGCTGCTGTAATGTTCTAAATCTGTAATAAAAAAAATCAATGCAATATGGCGACCTGGAGGCCTTCTGTACACAGTTGGTGTATAGACCACCCCCAGAAATGTCACTTCCTGATTCTGTGATTGGCTGACTAATTTTCCCAGAAGTCTGCACTAAGATACAAGTATAATTTTTGGCATCCCTTGCAACAGGAATTTCATTTATGGTGAGATACTCCCTTAGGGTTAATTATTACTGAAGGGATGCTTCACACTGCACCTTTCCTCATTGGAACACAGTGAGGGGAATTCATCAAAACTGGAGCAGACAAAATCTGGAGCAGTTGTGCATGGCAACCAATCAGCGTCGCTCTTTCATTTTCAAAGCTTAACTGAACAAACTAAACAGAGAAGCTGATTGGTTACTGTGAGCAACTGCTCCAGATTCTGTCTGCCCCTGTTTGGATAAATTCAACCCCAGAAAGTCCACCAGCTGGTTATATGAACCCAGACCCTCCCATTCAGGGATCAGTTTGGAAAGGGCATGCTGCAACAAACAGATTTTTCTTCAGAACAGAAACAGATAACTGTAACAAAGTTGGATAAAATCCCTGTATTGTACACAGATCACCAAGAGAGGATTGAATTATTTTTCCTCAACAAAAGTGAAATTACTCTTTAAAGTGAAATAGAAAATTGAGGTGAACCTGTGCCCAGTCTATAAACACTAAGGGGGTTATTCACAAAAGGGTGAAGAGTTTGGAGAAGGCAGGAGAAGTGCACAATCTAGGACAAAATAGGTGATTTGGAAAAATTCTCCAATTCACCTAATTTTCCAGTTCAGCTATGTTGTCCTAGATTGTTCACTTCTCCTGCCTTCTCCAAACTCTTCACACTTTTGTGAATAAGCCTGTAAAAGATCTCAATTTTTCTAACAAGCAGTAAAGGCATTTTAAAACAAGCCCTTCTTCACCTTTGTAGCTGTAGGCTTCATGGAGAAATTCATTTTCAAAACTCTCAATGCTGAAATCACCGCTTTTTAACAGATCTTGGCAGCCCGCTGGTCTTCTAACACAGCGCATGTTTCTATGCAGTTACATCCTACAGAAATTCTGACTGTAGTCTTTGTTTTGATTTTTGAGAATAAATTACTTTATAATAGATGCAGCTAGAGAGGCCAGGGATGGCTTGTGATAAAGCTCCTTTACTGCTTGTTAAAGTGACACTAGACTCAGGAGTTAAATATTTTAAAAAAATGCATTCAGTTACCTTAACTATTAATAAAAATGTATCTTATTTATGTATCACTCGGCTGTAGATCCTCCAATCATCTCTGAATTGGTGATGACACTCTCCTTCCTTCTGGAGGGGGGCTACTTTTGTTCCACATGGTCCCTGTGTGTTGTAAGGTAGCCACCGTTCCAAGCTCACTCCCGTTAGTAAACTAAATACGAGATTGTAGTCCATCACAGGAGTGAGCTTGTAGTGGTGGCTACTTTACAACACACACCGGGACCATGGGGAACAAAATTAGCCCCCCTCCAGAAGGAAGGAGAGTGTCATCACTCTGCTTGAAGAAGGGACCGAAATGGTTCAGAAACGTCGCTACACATTGCGACATACATTTTGTAGATGAAGAATTGACAGAATATGCTTTGGTCTGCTGGTGGCCGGTTCATACCACAAAGACTGCGCTCCAGAGCGTTCAGCCTCTGGACCACACTGGAATGCAAGCCGGCTGGCTCCTTGCGTTCAGGTGCACTGAAGTCAATGGCACCGCAGCCACGCCCCCAGTGCAATCTCCTGCATGGCACATTAGTGCCTGCGTTCCGGTCCAGTGCGATCAACAAGCATGCGGAGCCATTGACTTCAATGCACCATCACTCCCCCTCCCGCAGGGAGCCGGCCAGCTTGCGTTCCAGAGGCCGAACACTATGGAACGCTGTCTTTGTGGTGTGAACCGGCCCTCAGCACAAATTTAGAGATGTTTTGAGGATCTACAGCCGCGTGATACATAAATAAGATACATTTTTGTTAATAGTTCAGGTACTTGACTATTTTTTAAATGTAACTCCTGTGTTTGAGTCACTTTCTGGATACTTAAATCATGTCATGTCCATAGTCTCGGCATGTGGTAATTCCATAAGACGCACTTTTTTCCCCCCAAAAGGAGGGGGAAAAAGTGCCTGCGTCTTATGGAGCGAATCCCGACGCCCGAGTAGTAGTAGCGAGTAGTAGGAGCCACTGCTCGTTTAATACGAGTGATCTAACGAGATCACTCGTATTAAAGCCGAGCAGCGGCGGCGGCGATCGAGTTCAGCAGCAGGAGCCACTGCTCGTTTAATACGAGTGATCTAATGAGATCACTCGTATTAAAACCGAGCAGCGGCGACGATCGAGATAACCATAGAGCAGACGAAGAATAGACGTTCTTCGTCTGCTCTGTGTGATCACTGAGACCGTGGCGCTGTAATCACAGCGCCACCTGTCTCAGCGGTCACTAACTGCAGCTTCTGTGACAGCTTCTGTCATAGAAGCTGTCACAGAAGCTACAGTCTCGAGAGCTCCATAAGGCGCGCCGGACCTCCCTGCGTCCTATGGTCCGGTGCGTCTTATGGACCGCAAAATACGGTATATATAAAATGAGTTGCTACCAGAATAGGAATAGAGGCAAAAACTTCCAATGTGGACACTTGTTCCATAGACATTCCTTTACTGGTAAATCCTGAATGCCCTGGGCTCACAGGAAGTGGGTTGAATGACACTGGGTGCCTTATAATGTAGGAAAAATGCGGCACTGGACTGGTGACAGTGAGTCTGTGGAGGACAGAGTCAGAGATGGAGTGAGTGTTGTAGCCGGAGCTGCTTTATTTTTATTTATTTTTTACTAAGGCCAGGGATTACATTGTTTTATTTTCTGCCCGAACTGGAGTTAGACTTTAAAGAATGTTTAGTAACCCATAGCCACCAATCCGAAATCTGACTGGCTGTTAAAGGTTACAACACTGACAACATTACCACTACGGGTTTATCTGTAGCCAAAACTACTTTTTTTTAGCTTTGGATAATGTGGAATGGTTAGAGCCTCTGGCAAGTTTTTTTTTTTTTTTTTATTGCTGTCTCTGTGTCCCCACTGGGATGATTCACCATCTCCATTTATCCCGATGACCAATATCACTGAGACAGAAAATAATGGAGAGTCACATTTTACAGTTGTCAGGTGAAACCTTCCAAAATGGACATCTGTTTTGATGACCACTGTCACTTTAAAAAGATTTCCTTTCACTTCCTGTTGCGTCTCTGGGCCAGGAAGTGGGGGAAAAAAACAATTTCCACAACAGGACACAGCCAGCATAAAAAAAAAAAAACACCTGATAAGGTTCTAACCATTTCATGCAAAACTAAAAAAACAAAACAACAAAAAAAAGTAAGGCTTTTATATATAAAGTTCGGACACATCTTCACTCAAAGAGGCTGCAAGGGGTTCCAGCAGAAAGCAAAGCATTGTTAGTATTAGGCTTTGTTTCAGCAGATAGTGACAGTTCCACTTTCCCTAACCCCTATTTGTAAATATATAGTATGTGTTATGAGATTCACCTAACACTTCTGTACCCTCACCTGTCCTGTCATACACCTAACACTTCTGTACCCTCACCCTAACACTTCTGTACCCTCACCTGTCCTGTCATACACCTAACACTTCTGTACCCTCACCTGTCCTGTCATACACCTAAGACTTCTGTACCCTTACCTGTCCTGTCATACACCTAAGACTTCTGTACCCTCACCTGTACTGTCATACACCTAAGACTTCTGTATCCTCACCTGTACAGTCATACACCTAACACTTCTGTACCCTCACCTGACCTGTCATACACCTAACACTTCTGTACCCTTACCTGTCCTGTCATACACCTAAGACTTCTGTATCCTCACCTGTACAGTCATACACCTAAGACTTCTGTACCCTCCCCTGTCCTACACCTAACACTTCTGTACCCTCACCTGTACTATCATACACCTAGGACTTCTCCTCTACCCTCACCTGTACTATCATACACCTAGGACTTCTCCTCTACCCTCACCTGTCCTGTCATACACCTAGGTCTTCTCCTCTACCCACACCTGTCCTGCCATTAACGTATGACTTCTCTACCCCCAGCTGTCCTACCATACACCTCTACTACATGAAGCCGCTCTGTAATCCCGCCCCGTACTCTATGGCCTCCGAAGCACTCGCTATGTCCGCCACCTTCTCTCGATGGTGTCCGGGACGCTCACTGTTCTTCCGCCCCGCACTCTATGGTCCCGGGGGGTGGGGGGCGATCTAGCCGCACTTTACCGACTCTATGCTTTCCTCTTCCGGTTCCGCTAGGTGACGGCCTGTTGCTGAGTGTTTTCGCGCCTGTCGCTCTGTGTGTTGTAGCGACAGGAGCTCGGCCCGCTTCCAACATGTCTTACAACTATGTGGTGACCGCTCAGAAGCCCACTGCGGTCAATGCCTGCGTGACAGGTCAGTGTGAGCCCGGGAGGGGGTCAGTGGCCCTCCGGTCGGTACATGGAGAGTCTCTGGGACCAGGGCTGTCACCTGTGCATTCAGGGGATGTACACCCTGTGCTGTATAATGTGCTTACATACCAGGGATGGTGTCATGTGTGTCTGGTATACTGCCTGAATTGTCTGGGCTGATACTAGCTCACATTGGTAGTGATTTGATACTCCCTTGGATATACAGATTAGCTGACCTTGGCCAAAATTGAAGGCAGGTTTTTAAAGAGGTTCTTGCTGTACTATTCACTCATGTGGATAGTGTGGTGAATGTCACATTTGGCCTTACTGTAATGTTCACTTTTTACAGTAACTGCAGCCGGTGTGACGTGTACAGTAAACGCCACAAAAAGGCTCTGGGCATGTCAGCAAATGCGCGGCAAATACACCTCAGTATAAAGAATTGTAAACAATCATTTAAATGAATACCCTTCAGTATCGCACATAGTAGGACATACATTGTGGCCGGCTGCACATTGTGTCAAAGCATGGTAAAGTGTATGTTACCGCAAGGTACAATTGGTGTTGTGATGTCATTAAGGGTTTGTTCACAGTCATTACTCAATGCATGGACATGTAGAACACAATCTCCATGTGCTCTGTTTATGCCATCCATGTGTGTTGTGTATAAATGACAACGCATGTCACTGCATGTCAACACAGCTCGCTGCAATGCAAAGTTGAGTGTTTTCTTGATTGCACATCACAGGACACAGAGTTATATATATTTTTTTCTTTTTCACTGCAAGATTTAAAGGAGAACTATGAGGTGAGTGAAAATCACTCATCCTCATAGTTTGAGCCGATGTGTGACAATGGAACTGTCACACGTCGGCTCTATAGATCGGTAAGTGAGCGAACACATACCGTCGCTCGCTCACTTCTCGATCATCTCCCTGCAGAGAGCCGTGACTGGCGGTCACGGCTCCCAGCAGGGATTCCCCCCTCCCCGCTCTGATCTTCCAGCACTGACTGGAGGAACAGAGGGGGGAGGGGGCGGGCACAGCTGGCTCTGCCTCTAGATAGGCAGAGCCAGCTATCACTCACGCAGCTGAGTGAATATCGACAGTAATGTCTGGATCCGTCCAGGCTGTGGCGGTCTCAGTATACTGCAAGCTGTAGTTCGCAATATACTGAGCTTTGGGACAAACAAAAAGATACCTTGTCGCACTCCTTACCGGAAAAACCCGTTGCTGAGCCTGATGAAGGGGACCCTGCGTGGCCCCGAAAGCGCTAGTTTTGGTGACATGACGTTCCAATAAACAAACTCTTTTGACTACAATACTGGTGGTGTGCTGGTGACATTTATTAATCTTTATTCTGAGCTTTGGGTCACGGGAGGAGGGTAGTATATGTCCTCCCGTGACCCTGAAGAGAACTATGGGGAAAAACACTTACCCCATAGTTCTCAAGTGCTGGTTTGTGTCTGGGTGCTAAAATAACAAAGATATGCTCACCCCATATGTCTCAACATAAAGCATGCATATTTGCACATCCCCGTTTTTCCTGCTGACCACTGCTATATGCGTTCTGCTGTAGGCACGCAACACTACAAAGTGTTACCCTTCCATTCAGCCTGGCCACTGCAACTTGTGTTTTGTTCTCCAGGGATCCCCATAATGGATACATGAACCAGCTTCTCCTTACAGAGTAATCCTAGCGAACCTTATCGCCCATCGTTTGTTGTGATGGTACAAACACTGCAAAGCTTCAAATGGGTCTCGAATCTCTGGTAGTTGACTCTAGAACCCTCTCATTGCTTGGAGAACCTGAGCCTAGTCTTGGACATGGCCCTGTCCAGGACCTTCCTTACCCTGGAAAAGATCCAACCTCACCTCTCCTGTGCTCTGACATTGCGGCCCATTTTCTTTTGCATGAAGGCTCTGTATTTAATGGTGGCCCCTTTAGAGGTTAACTTTCTGGCATTGTAAGACAAGCAAATTCACGATGGGCAGAATTGCACATCTGGGTCCGCTGTCTAGATTCTAAGCAAGGAAAATTGTCAGATAGACTTCCCTAATCGCCATTGTCTGTACATTGGAGAATGGTCCCTTCACCCGGAGATATTTGAAGCCCTTCATTGCAGGTGAGGGAAGCCGGATACAGACCTGGGGTCCAGGATCAACAGCAAACTGGAGAAGTTTGTCGACAGGACCAGGAATCCCCTGTGTCTTCCCAGTGGATGCCTTGGTGGCTCTGTGAAATCAGTTCAGCTTGATCTACGCCTTCCCTCCTCTGAAACTCTTGACTTGGCTCATTTGCAAGATCAAGACAGAAGGCGTTGCAGTAATCTTTATTGCTCCCAACTGTCCAAAGAGGCCTTGGTACACGGGCATAGTCAAACTCCTGGCAGAGTCTGTGTGGGCACGTCCAGATCATCCAGACCTCCTGTGCCAAGGTCTGCTATTCCTGCTTCTTGGACCCTGGCTTTGACAGCCTGGCTGTTGGAGCCAGGTCGTAGAGGACAGAGGCCTCTTTAAGACGCTGTCATTCCTATGCTTCTGAAAGGTAGGAAATCGACCTCCTGCAAGATCTACCATCACACTTGGAAAGCTTATTTCGCTTTGTCCTCCTGTACGCACGGCAATGACTCTTTTGGACCTCTAATTAGTTCTGTCAGCTCTTCAGAAACTGCCATTTGAAACTGGTGTTCTGTTATCGCTAGGTGGATTACTTGAACTGTCAGGCCTATGAACTGAAAGATGAGGTTCCCCCTTTTCCAGTCAAGGCACATTCTACTAGAAGTGTCAGTGCTTTTTGGTCCTTTCAGCATCCGGTTTCGCTATCTCACAGGAACCATATGTGTGCTCAGATGCAGGGCATGACAAAAAGAGGGGGCTTGTCATTTTTGTGGCATAATTAATTAATGGGCTGCCTCAACGCAATTCAGGTTTAAGGTGCCCATACACTGTACGATTCTCGTACGAGAATCGCGGGAAATCCCGCGATCGTACGAGATACGTACAGTGTATGGAAGGCGTGCGACCGTTTCTACTGTACGGTCGCACGTCTTCCATCGAACAAGCAGGCTAGAAAACCCGCCGGGAATCGTACGATTCTCGGCGAGTGAGTGGCATGCTTGTTCGACAACTGACGAACGGGCCGGTGTGCGCACACTGCCCGTTTGCCGTCCTCGCAAGCCCGCCCCTCATTGCAGTCATCGCAAGCCCGCCCCCTTGAGGGATCGCAAGTACGATCTGCCTGTCCAAGATGGGCAGATCGTACGTTTTTTTAAGTACTTTACAACCATCGCAAGACTAAGTTCTTGCGATGGTTGTACAGTGTATGGCCACCTTTACGTGTGGCATTGCACAAATTACTGTGCACGGAGTAACACAATGCATCACAGATGACCTGTACTGAGGGAACTATAGAAACTGCCATTGGTGACCTAACTTTCTGGAAATGCTAGTTGCATGGCTGTGTTTGACTGCTATACTTTTTTCTTTTTGTTTTAGAAAAGTACTTCTGCACTTTGTCAAGAGACGTAGAACAGGTTTAGTGTTGGAACTTCTTCCCACATACTTGTTCTAGTGACTCAGAAAGTGTTGATGCCAAAGCAGCTTGTATATTTCCCTCAGTACAGGTTTCTTTTAAATTGTGTCTAAAGGCAAATATTTTTTTTCCTCAATGTTTTATTGCTGTCTGTGAGATCAAAGTGTATGTAAAAGCAAAACTTTTTTTTTTTTTTATTGAGTTGGGGATCAAACCTTTTTCATTTTATTTTTTGCAACCTGTGTGTCACTGGGGAGATTTAACCTAAAGATGCAGCAGGAAAAGAAAGGTAATCTGTATAAAGGAAACAGATTTCCCAAATTAGAGAATTTTCATAGGATCAGGTGTGCCCATAGGAGGATTGCCCCTCTCTTCATGTCCTGGTGTCAACACAAAACTTTTGGATTTCTCATCACTTTCTGTCTTGGTAACAAAGGTCACCTGTACAAATAGGGTGAATCCCCACAGCAGTAATACAAACTGCTTTAAATAACCTGACTGGAGTCTTAACTCTTACCCACTCTACCCAAAACTAAAGAAAAATGCCTTTACATATAAAGGAATATAAATAATAATGACCAGCCTATATCTAGCTCAGCACAGGCATTTCCCTGGCTGTCTTTATTCTTTTTGGTTAGGCTTAATGCATTTGCACCGTGTGAAGCCTGCCAGTATTGTTGCTGTTCCTTAAAGCGGACCTTTACACTCAAAAATCAAATTCTACCAATGCATCCCTCTGTGTATGATGATTATTAATAACTAAGACAGGTCAGGTGTAAAATGCTGTGATTGTGAAATACTTACACTTGCAGCGCATTCACTTCCTGCTTTGAAAGTGCAAAATGACTTCAGTTTACCAAAGCAATGCAAATCTCATCTCAGGGAAAGGCATTTTCCTCCCCTGAGATGATGTGCATGGTCACATGACCTAATCGCATCTCTTGTCATATGTGCTAGAAATCCAGGAAGTAATAGGAGAGCTAGTAATCTGCCATTGGTAAACATGGCCACTGTCAGAAGACTGGGGAAGAAAAGAGAAATAGGGTATGCAAAGAAAACAAAGCCGGCAATTATCTAGAAGTATGTGTGTGTAGATTGTCATTACTAAACATTTCTAAAGGTGGTGTGTTATTTTAAAGATGGGTAAATGTCTGCTTCAACAAATTAGTCGAAGAGTTGTGTTGCTCATACCTGCTAGTTTGGCATTGGATTTTATTTTCTGTTATGGACAGAAGAGATATGGTTGTAGTCTGTTTTATATAGCCAACATCTTTATGTCACTTGTTTGGCTTTTTCCTCCTTTGAGGTGGGCAAGCTGTCAGTGGGGACTGTGGTTTCCTACCTGCTCCTGAAATTAAATTTGAACTGGCCGCTGTCACTGTGATTAAGATTTTTTTTTTTTATTGCATGTGCACTCCATACATTTATTTTGAAATCAATATTGCAGGTCATTTCACTTCTGAAGATGACCTGAATCTTTTGATCGCAAAGAACACACGACTGGAGATTTATGTGGTAACACCAGAGGGGCTGCGACCTGTGAAGGAGGTCGGAATGTATGGCAAGATTGCTGTCATGGAGCTTTTCAGACCCAAGGTAACCTTATTTATTCCATTTCTGACTTTCTGATGCCTAACAGAAACATGTTACTCTACTATATTTGGAAAGTGTTGGATATTTTAACAGGATTTAAAAGTATAAGTACATTGAGGATATATGAAGGCTGACCTATTACATGTAAGTGAATCAGGGGTTCTGACTGTACTCTGACTTCTTGCTGCCTGCTTTTTCGAGATTAGAGACTCAAAGGATTGAGGCTTCAAAGCCCATTCGCACCAGGGCGGCTGCGGATCAGCGCGGTTTCCGAGCTGAATTTAAAAGGGAGGTTTTGGGAGTTTTTTTTATTGCGTTTCAGCGCTGAAACGCAATACAAAATGCCCAGAAACGCGTGATCAGTGCGGTTCCATTGAAAGCTGTATGGAAACCGCACTGATCAGCGCTGCAAAAAAGGGTCGGGGAGCAATTTGGGCGGGGGGCGGTTTGGATCGTGCTGAGCCACGCGGTCACATGAACGGTCCCCATAGCAATGTATGGGATCGTTCATGTTGGCGGATCCACACGGCCGAACCGCCCCGGTTTGAACGGGGCCTTATACAGCCAAGCAGTTAGCACTTTCAGAAGGAGGTTAGAATGAGTCTTCCGTTTCTCTTTTGATTTTGTTTGGTACTTCTCTTGTTGACATCTGAGATTCACATCCGTATCCATATTTTTGCTGTTGTATGTTCAGACAAAATTTTCAGAGATTTTTTTCCCCTCGCCTTGTATCCTTGGGACCAAATTTTTACCAACCAGTAAGCAAAGGAAAATCTGCCACATGGACACAGACAACAAATTAAAGCTGACAGGGGATGTATTCAATACAAACTAGAAGTCCCATCACTGGAGCCATTTTTTAAAATGTATTTTTTATCCGATTAACCGATTAATCGAACTTAATAATCGGCTAACTAATCGATTTTGAAAATAATCGTTAGCTGCAGCTCTAGATGTAGCCTTCTCCTACTCTACCAACGGTGGGGGGAATTTATCAAAACTGGAGCAGTTGCCCATTTCAACCAATCGCTATCTCTCTTCAGTTTGCTCAGGTAAGATTTGAAAATGAGACCACGAAGCTGGCTGGTTGCAGTGCAAATCTGCCCCAGATTTTGTCTGCTCCATTTCTGATAAATCCACCGCAATGCTTTTATTTCTGTCTATTACTGTTAAATGCACTGCAACTGTTAAATGCTCGTTAAGTCTGGGGGTAGAGAAATAAGCTGAACTAATTACCTTATGCCTCGCTCTGGGACGCTCCTTTCTTCTTTGGCGCTTCAGGTTGTGGGTGGTGCCTCGCCGCACTTTTGTACAATGCAGGACAATTACACCTTATTCCTCTAATTCTAGATTTCACAAGCATCTAACCCTTGCAATGTTGGGGAATCCCACTGCCAGAGTATTTGTTTCCTGCTTGGAGTGGTGCTTTAAATCTCACTTCTTGTTTGGTAAACAGCAGTGCAGGCAGTGAGAGAAAATCTCTGAATGAGGCCATGGTAGCAGTAAGAATCTGACAGAGGTTCTAACCCTTCTACTATATCCAAAACTTTAAAAACATTTTTGGGCTGGCCATTAAATTTAATAGTATTAAAAAAAAAAAAATCAGTGTGCATTCATAGAATAGCAGGGCCAAATGAGTTGAAACCAAGAATTCACATTGGCTATAAGCATTCTATTATACTGAATTATTGTGTTCAATAGATCTGTTCTCCTTAATTTAGGTATGCACAGATACTTTTCGAGTACCAGTGCAGATACTTGGCATTTTCCTGAGAACTATCAGGGTCCAGCGGTTGCAGCTGGGACCTGGCTTTGGCGCTCCACCACTGTCCTGAAATCATTAGTCTGTATTGTTTTAGAAAAACTGTCACATGACAAAAAAAATGTGTAAGTACTCTGCAAGTACTAGTACTCGTACTCGCAAAACTGGTATCTGTGCATCCCTTTTATTTGTATTTATAAAAACAAAATTGTACATGAAAACAGAGATGCACAAATCCCAGGAGCTCCGTGTGCTCCTTACAAATGACAGCTGCCTTCTAATTTTTTTAATTTTTCTCTAGTCTAGTCTTGGAGCTCAAAAGTATCGGTGCATGTACTCGTACTTGTACCGAGTACTGTACTTGGTATCTGTGCAACCCTACCTAATTTGAACTGTTGCTAATAATTTTTTCTGCTTTTTGTTCAGGGAGAAAGTAAGGACCTCCTCTTTGTATTGACAGCCAAGTACAATGCCTGCATCCTTGAATATAAACAAACTGGTGACAGCATTGACATCATCACCCGGGCACACGGCAACGTTCAGGTACTATTGAAAGCTGAACATGGACTTGTCATTGACAAAATTCCACTTGTTATTTATTTCATATGGTTTTCTGTTTGTAGGATCGCATCGGCCGTCCATCTGAAACGGGGATCATTGGCATCATTGACCCTGATTGCCGAATGATTGGTCTGCGCCTTTATGATGGTTTATTTAAGGTTATCCCTTTGGAGAGAGATAATAAAGAGTTGAAGGCTTTCAACATCCGATTAGAGGAGCTTCATGTTATTGATGTCAAGTTCCTCTATAGTTGTCAAGCGCCCACCATCTGCTTTGTGTACCAAGACCCACAGGGCCGTCACGTCAAGACTTATGAGGTCTCCCTCAGAGAAAAGGAGTTTAGCAAAGGTCCGTGGAAGCAGGAGAATGTCGAGGCTGAGGCATCTATGGTGATTGCAGGTAACTTTATTCCTGTGATGAAAATGACATTCGGCAACTTCTGTTGGAATCAACTCCGTCTAATTTTTAGAAGACTTGTATACTTTATAATTTTTTTTTAGATTAACATTTAAAAACCTTTTCAAAGTGTGTTTAATGTTTTTGAAGCCATATTTTCTCATGACATTTCCTGCTGATGCTTTTATCTCACCAAGGTCTGTATCAAATATCCACATTGCACCTGGTAGCCAGAAACCATATCAACTTGGTCTAGACTTTTTAATTATCCTATATGAGAACCCCCTGCAATCCTCTTGCTGAAGCTTCCCAAAGTCTTAAGGTCCCCACACACCTTGAGATAATCGTACGATAATCGCGGGAAGCCGTGCGACCTCTACTATAAGGTCGCACGACTTTTAACTTACGAACATGTTCGAAAACCCGCCGAGCATCGTACGATGTTCGGCGGGTGTGTAGCATGTTCGTACGATAAAAGCCGGACGGGCCGGTGTGCACAAGCGCACACTGCCCGTTCGGCATTGCGGTCATCGGAAGCCCGCCCCTCGGGGGGGGGCACGGCTTGCGATCATTGCAAGTACGATCTGCCTGTCCAAGATGGGCAGATCGTACGTTTTTTTAAGTACCTTACAACCATCGCAAGACAAAAGTCTTGCGATGGTTGTAAGGTGTGTGCCCAGCCTTATACTCCTCATGAATGGAGATTTATGTAGAGAATATGAAAAAGTTGCCCCCCAATCAGGAGACTTTGCAGCAGGAGCTGTTCTGCTGCCATTAGTCAGCACAGCAACGATGACAGCATAAGGCAGTAATTGGCACTCAGTAACACCCTGATACACCCTTCTCCGCAATAAATCTCTCTGTGAGGATACTTGTGATGAGTGGTGTGGCTGCAGCTTGGAGCAATGGAGAATGATGCAAGAAGCAATATTTTCATTGAAAAAAGTGCACATTAGGGCATTTCCAAGCAAAAATCACAAATCTTAAAATGCACAGTACTATAGGGACATATGAGACTTAATTAGTCTTTTATTGTACCCTATTACAGTAAACTCAGAGATATATCTGGCATCCATGGAGATCAGTAGATGCCGGATAACTGTAGTTTCCGTTAGCTTGAGAGTAAATAGTCAATCTCAAGCAACCCGCCTGCAGCACCTATTTTCTCAGGTCCACTCCCCTGCTCATTGGGCGGGTGCAATAGCCAGCCTGCTATTGGCTATTGCAATTTGAAATTGCCAATAGCAGGCTGGATATTGCTCCCCATTGTTTACATTTAGCTGCCGACTGTGGAATCTACCCACAGCCGGCAGAAAGATGTAAACCTAGAATTTCCTTATCGACTAAAAGAAGTTAACAAAATGTAATAGTTTGCACCTGTTTATCAAGCAACCATAAAAAAAATGTCCTCGTTTCCCCCCTCTCCTTTTATCCCGGTTGCTTGAGAGTGCTGGTTGCTTGAATGCCGGATAATGGGGAGTTTACTGTATTTATATTGAATGGTCTATGTTAAATGCTAAAATTGATATTTCACATTTTTCTGCTTACGGGGTGAATCATCCAGCTGCTTCTTATAGCTCTGAGGGACAATAGTGGCAAGTTTCAAAACCTATCTTTCTGATGTGGCTGCTATAGAGGAAAACAAAGGGGTTACATTCACCAACTTTATAATCCTAAACTTTAATGGACCACATATGTTTGGTTTTCTAGTATTGGTGTGAAAGTCAGGTGTCCACATACCTTTGGCCATATAGATTATGAAATCCTTTCCTATCCTATTCACACCCAGACCATCTACAACCCCAATTCCAAAAAAGTTGGGATGTTTTGTCAAATCTACATAAAAACAGAATGCAATGATCTGCAAATCTCATAAACCATATTTTTTTTTACAATAGAAAAAATATCCAACTGAGAAAATGTACCATTTAAAAAAAAAAAAAACTTTTCTGTGGGCAGACGAATCGAAATTTGACATTCTTCTTGGCAACCCTGGGCGCTGTATCCTCCAGACTAAAGAGGAGAGGGACCTTCCGGCTTGTTATTAGCAATCAGTTCAAAAGCCTGCATCTCTGATGGTATGGGGGGTGCATTAGTGTGTATGGAATGGGCAGCTTTCACATCTGGAAAGGCACCATCAATGCTGAAAGATATATCCAGGCGTCTTTTTCAGGGAAGGCCTTTAATATTTCAGCAGGGCAGTGCTAAACGGCATACTACATCTATGCCAACGGCATGGCTACATAGTAGAAGAGTCCGGGTGCTTAACTGACCTGCCTTCAGTCCAGACCTTTCACCAACTGAAAATATTTGGCACATCTTGAAATGAAAAATACGACAAAGACCCAGCACTCTTGAGTAGTTAGAATACTATATCAGGCAAGAATGGGGCAGCATTCCTCTCCCTAAACTCAGTTCCCAGACATTTACAGAGTGTTGTTAAAAGAAGAGGGGATGCTACACCATGGCAAACGTGGCCCTGCCCCAACTTTTTGGAGACGTGTTGCGGCCATCAATTATTTTTTTTCCTACAATGGTCAATTTTCTCAGTTCAAACATTTGCTATATTTTCTATTGTGAATAATATATGGGTTTGAGATTTGCAGATCATTGTATTCTGGAATTGGGGTTGTACACAAACGTGTCACAGGCCACAGGGGTTCTTTATGTATTAGCACATGTATATCGTATGTGTCTCTCTTACCGCTGCTGAAACTGCGGGGATAAAGCATGGGTAACATTTAATAAAATAGGGATTCTGTGAGATTATAGATGGGAGAAATGTACTTTTTATCAAATCATTTAGATTGTTTGTTTAATAATGTTTTAACAGTAAGATCATTCTGAAACTATAGAAGCAGCGTATTCTTGAGATGACTTACACATGTATATGTTTTAGTTCCAGAGCCCTTCGGAGGTGCCATTATCATTGGACAGGAATCCATAACCTACCACAATGGAGAAAAATATTTGGCAATCGCACCACCTATTATTAAGGTGACTAGGATTTTTTTGTACCGTTGTCTGGGTTTGGGCCTATCTATGGTTTATTGTTTCAGAGCAGTAGTTTTTTTGTGTGTGTGTGTGTGTGTGTATATATATATACATATATATTGCAATATATATATATATTGCAATATAAATGGGTAAGCCATATTAGTCCAGTAGACAAGATGTCAAAAAAGACAAAAATGCACTATTGCAGTGTGCAATGATACCTTTTTTATTGGACTAACATAGTATATAAAAGACAAGCTTTCGAGAGTGAACCTCTCTTCTTCAGGTCAGAAGCAATAACCTGAAGAGAGGTTCACTCTCAAAAGCTTGTCTTTTATATACTATGTTAGTCCGATAAGAAAGGTATCATTGCACACTGCAATACTACGTTTTTTTTCGGGGTAGGTCTTATTTTTTATTTTTTTTTAATGTACAACAATCCACACTTATTCATGTAGAAAAGTCTACATGTATTCATGTACACAAATAGGGTGATCAGGGCAATCAGGGGTGCCGTACCTTTCCAAGAGCAATTTGCTAACCAATCGCTGGCCAGAATGAGCGAAGCGGACTTTTTACTATCGATTCCTCACAGGCGGAGAGCATTTGGTATAACTCTGCCAGTGACAGCAGCCGGCACTATAGAGGAGGCATCGGCTTATCCGGCTCTGCTCCCTCCAGTGCTGCCTCGATTCCTCTAGCGCTGGTTTAGTTGGCACCGCTGATTCTCTCCTGCCTCTCCAGCGGCTCTTCAAGTTTCCCCTTATGCCACCACCGACCGTGGGAATGGTCACAACTAGGTTATTTTTGGGGTAGGTCTTATATTTTAGCAATTCCCAAAAATAGTACTAGGTCTTATTTTTCAGGGTAGGTCTTATTTTCTGGCACAAGTGATACCATATAAAGATTTGGACTGGGAGGATTTTTGGTTATGTCACTTAATGATACTTAATGATTTGTCCTTTTCAGCAAAGCACCATTGTGTGCCATAATCGCGTTGACGTGAATGGCTCACGATATCTTCTTGGGGACATGGAAGGTCGTCTGTTCATGTTGCTGCTAGAGAAGGAGGAGCAGATGGATGGAAGTGTCACTTTAAAGGACTTACGAGTGGAGCTCCTTGGAGAGGTGAGGGAATCTTAGTTTTGTAATAAGTGTGTGTTGTCCTAATAAGTTGTTTATATGTGATCACATTTTACTTCTCCTTTTGCAGACCTCCATTGCTGAATGTCTTACTTACCTGGATAATGGAGTAGTGTTTGTGGGCTCTCGCCTTGGAGACTCACAGCTAGTTAAGGTATGCGTATGTTGTGCATGCGGCTCATACTCCATCATAGTCGTTTCATTGGTGTCCATGAAGGCTTTGTCTAAGTATGAATGGTTAGACTGTGTTCCCCACTTCCATGCTCACTATGAGCCTCTGTAAGACAGTGGGAGGATTTTTAAAAACTGGAACAGACAATATCTGGAGCACAGCAACCAATCAGCGTCTCTCTCTAATTTTCAAGCATAAAATGAGCAAACTGAAAAGAGAAGCTGATTGGTTGCCATGCAAAGCTGCTCCAGATTTTGTCTGCTCCAGTTTTGATAAATCCCCCCAGTGTGTCTTACATCTTGTGATGAAAAAAAAGCTGTCTTTGTGTCAGGTTTTTATCAAAGAAAGATTTTTTTTTTCTTTTAACGATTTGCTGTCCAGAGCAAATTTTTTTTTATTATCTGCACAAATTTTGGCTAGAAAACAGCTTCAGACCCCTAAACAGTTATATATTTTCTGAAAGCAGAGGCCCTGTAGAATTTAAAAAAAAATGGTAGTTGCAATTTTTTTATGTCGCACGGTATTTGCTCAAATGTTTATCAAACCAGTATTTTTAGGATGAAATTCACTAAAATGAAATTTAGTGCACAGAAAAATAATACCCAATTTTTTTGTAAAATATAAAAGATGGGGTCACGTTGGGTAAATTTTATACCAAGCGTGAATTCCTAAAATTGTGTGCGCCCGTGAAACCGCAAAAAGTACAATACCCAAAATTTCTCATAGGCGAACGCTTTGAAAGCTTTTACTGCTCATCAGTTTAGTGTAAGCAGTGATTAATGGCTGCAGAAATATTGCTCTCACTCCGACGTGCGGGGTGATATGTAATATGCGTGGTGCAATTTTGGTTTTTGTACGTAGGCTCGCCTGACGCTTGTTTGCGTTAGTGGGGGCAGGGGGGACTTTAAAAAAAAATGTTTTATGTTACTTTAACCTTTTTTTAAAAATATTTTGACACTTAAGGCTATTGCTTAGTCTCCTATGTAATAGCAAAAATAATGTGACAGGTCCTCTTTATGGAGACATCAGGGGTGTTTCAGACCCCTAATGTCACCTAGGGACCATAAAGAAGCTGATGAAGCAGCGATCTGCTTCACCAGCTTCTTCTCCTGGCTCTAGGAGCCGGAGAATGTGCACAGTGACAATGGAAGTGACGTAATACACATCACTTTCGGGTCTAGAGATCGGAGAAGAGATCAACGGCTAGAAGATTGCTGATCTCCCTTCGATTGGTGAGGGAAGACCCGCTGTGCCGGGCACGAACAGGGGACAGCGTAACCCGGGGTAGTCGTTGGAGGGGGGGGGCACACATTCGGCCGCACTGTAAAAGTGATACAGCTGCCGGATCGCTTGAATCTAAACAGGCATCACCGGCTGTTTAAAATGATACAGAGAACACAGCTTCAGGAGCAGGATGTATTTTGACGGTGGGCGGTCCTGAAGAGGTTAAAGACTTCTTCAGGCATCTCCTTTATTCTATTTGCCCTGGTTTCCTGAGTTCATATTGATTATCATTGTGTGAAGGGACCAACGCCCACCTGTTTACTAACTTGCTTTTAACTGCTGATGTTCTTGTTGGGACTACCCACTCCAGTATCACAGTGGAGCCATTCCTTCCCTGACACCTGTTTTATTGCTCAGATATGAATGTTGCCAAGTTTTGGTTCCTCATAAATGGCTGGCTTAGTTTTAATAATTTGATGAATAATTGTGGATTATGACAGTTTTCCTCGTCTCCCAGTAACTAGAATACTAGGCCTCCTTCCCTCCAGTCCTTGGACACTAATGTAAGTGACACTTTTTGCCTTTTGCGGAGCTGGCCAGCCTATCGTGAGCACACACATACACTCAGGTTATTGCGCCCTTTTGTGTTTTTTAGTTGTATCAATTACAGGTGCCTCCTCCTGGTTTTTAGGGCTGCACACCACACCACTTCTAATTCCACCCGAGAGCGCTGTACATTGTTTTTGTTGTACTAGAATACTATTGGGAGGTGAGGAAAATGGTCATTATCCAAAATTATTCTGTTAATTGTATTCTAGTCTTGGCAGTAATAAAACCACCTTTATGATTTCATTGGGAGATCTGTCAGCTGTGCATTGATTAACCTGAATGTATGAAAGCTGATCTGTTGTCTGGGAGCAGAACTGTTATCTTTTTCTTTTGTATTTGTATGTTAGCTAGGTCTTCAGAAGGCTCAATCCAAAATAGATATTTGTAAACTGCTTTACCTGCAAAACGCTTTATAATTATTTTCAGTCAATGTTTAATATTGTCTTTTCTCTAGCTAACTGCAGACAGTAATGAGCAGGGCTCCTATGTTGTGGCAATGGAGACTTTCACTAACCTGGGCCCAATTGTGGACATGTGTGTAGTGGATCTTGAAAGACAGGGACAAGGACAGGTGAGGTTGTGCATTCTAATTCTCTATGTCTCTCTTTTGATGTCTGGGTTTAAGACTTAGTCACTGTCTTTTTATTTACAGCTTGTTACCTGCTCTGGTGCGTTCAAAGAAGGTTCACTGCGAATCATCAGAAATGGCATTGGCATTCATGAGCATGCCAGCATCGACCTACCAGGGATCAAAGGTACTGATGGACCTCATAGCCAGCAACAGAGTTTAGACTAGGGCTTTTGGTACACAGAATTGTTGAAAGGGTGTATTCATTTTGTACAGATTTTTATTTATTGTGTTTGAGTTTACCTTTCACTTAGCTGTACAATCTCAGTATAATAGTTTTTTTTGCTCCCTGCATCAGGTCTGTGGCCTCTCAGAGTTGCTGCCAATCGTGAAACAGACGATACGTTGGTCCTGTCTTTTGTGGGACAGACAAGGTGAGTTGTGAATTGAGAATTGTTCTCCCTAGGCCCATACTCTCTATTGCAAGACTAAACTGTGCCTTTGTTGCAGAGTTTTGACCTTGTCTGGAGAAGAGGTGGAAGAGACAGATCTTGCTGGTTTTGTTGATGATCAACAAACATTTTTCTGTGGCAATGTGACACATCAGCAGCTCATTCAGGTAGGGGTATCTATATATTTATTATCATTATATTTTTTTTCTTTTATGTTTTTATAAACCTTTGTTTGTGGGTCAGCTTGTGCTTGTCATAACGTCCGTTTACACTTCTACAGATAACATCAGCATCAGTACGGCTGGTATCTCAAGATCCACAAAGCCTGGTAAGCGAGTGGAAGGAGCCCCAGGGTCGTAAAGTCAGTGTCTGTTCTTGCAACAGCCGTCAAGTTCTACTTGCTGTGGGAAGAGTCCTATATTACCTGGAAATTCACCCTGGAGAGCTTAGACAGATGAGGTGTGCCAGAAAAATATCTTTCTCCTTCTATGAATCACTTCCCCCTTAGGCTTCTTTTTTATCACCCTACCACACTCTTTCCATTCCTTCATATTATATTGGTGCATTTTCATAACACTTGTTTACCCCCACAGCTGCACTGAAATGGAACATGAAGTTGCCTGTTTAGATGTGACCCCACTGACTGGTAGTGACACATTGTCCTCACTTTGTGCTATTGGCCTCTGGACTGACATCTCTGCCCGAATCCTCAGTCTGCCAGACTTTCAGTTGTTGCACAAGGAGATGCTGGGGGGCGGTAAGACAATTTGACCTTCGTATAGATTAAATATTGTTGTCAATCACCTCAATTCACTAAGAAATAAAACATAAATTTTTTTCCACTGCTATTCTTATAGATTTAAATTAGAACAATTGTGTTCTTGTTGCTGAAACTAATTAGGCAAGTAATGATCCCTATAGCTTAGTGGACTGAGGCAATGGTCTTTCACTCCATTGTGTTGTACTCTGTGTAAAAGAAATAAAGTTTAAACATTTTTGTATGCTCTGTTTTTGTAGAGATTATTCCAAGATCCATCCTTATGACTTCTTTTGAGAATAGTCACTACTTGCTGTGTGCACTGGGAGATGGTGCTCTGTTCTATTTCAGCCTAAACACAGAGTCAGGTAAGCAGAGGGTTCTTGTGTTGCTGTAATGTTAATGTAAGAATGAGACAGTGGTGTTATAAAACATCCCTAAATAAAAGATGTATAAAAAAGCAAGTTTCCTTGATTTTAAAATACACAAATGCAGTGTTACAAAGATAAAGTTTACTTTAGAATAAAACTGCATGCACAATTTTTTGCAATTGCACTGCCTGGAAAGCATGGCATTGAAGTACCGTACGTTCCAGTGCAGGCAATGACACTGTGGGTGGGAGGCACGTTTGGGATGCCATTGAAATTAATGGCACTGCAACGCACCTCCCGCAGCAGAATTTGGCAGTCCGAAACCGAAAATGACTTCCTTGCCACCTTTTTTTAATCTTTTTTATTTTATTTTTATAATTGTGTTGTAAGCACATGGTGCTTGAATAGCTACAGCCAGGGAATGATGGCATCCGCAGACGGCAGCTGAATGTAAAACCAGGAGGTAGTGGGCTGGTGCAATAGGCAGCCTGTTATTGGCCATTTCAAATTGCAATAGCAGGTTGGATATTGCACCCGCCCACTGCTTGCTGTGTTATCCTCCCAGCGTGGAGGATAGAGCTTTGGGATCCAGCCAACTAATCGATAATAGTTGACAACTATTCTCTATTGATTATCAATTAATCAATTCCTTGGTTGCAGCTCTAGCTCTTAAGATCTTAGATTTCCTCTGGCTTCTACAAGGATCATTGCTTACACTATAGAAGATATCTTTATTAGTAAATGTGTCTGTAGCATGCATGTGGCCTAATTTCACGATCTTTATTCCAGGTCTTTTGAGTGACAGAAAAAAGGTGACATTGGGAACACAGCCCACAGTCCTAAGGACTTTCCGATCTCTGTCCACAACAAACGTGTTTGCTTGTTCTGATCGGCCAACTGTCATCTACAGTAGCAACCATAAACTTGTTTTCTCTAATGTTAACTTGAAAGAAGTTAACTATATGTGTCCCTTGAACTCGGAGGGCTACCCTGATAGGTAATTATTTTCTGTTAGTACGATAGCACATGCCTACAATGTAATGTTACATAAAACGTAAACCTAATGTTACATAAACAGTTTGTGATGGTAGCAGCCATGATACCCTGGTAGCATGCATTCAGAATTGGGGTATGTTGGTTCATATGACTTAGACTTTGTAAAAATGGTGGCGTATGTCTAAGCAAACCTTTTTTTTTTTTCTTAAAGTTTTGGAAGGGTTTGGCCCATATCAAATGTATTTATTTTTCTTCTTTTGCGGTCTGTGTCCCCATTGGGGCGATTCACCATTCTATTCATACTGGTGAGTGGAAATCCAAAATTTTAGAGCTGTCTGAGGGGAATCCTAACTTTGGGAGATTTTCACTAACTTTCTGTTGCATCTCGAACACAGAAAATGAAGAGAAATTCCGTCCGTGGTTCACAGACAGCAAAAAATAAACGGTCAGGGGTTTAAGGCTTCCTTACTCTATCCAACAGGGACGTGCGGTCAGGTGAGGCAGAGCCTCACCGAGTATTATGAAGAAAAAAGGTGTCAGCTTCTTCTCCATTCAGATCGGCTTGTTACAGGTTGCACAGCAGGGAAATTCTCCCGCCATGTAACCTGTCATGGACGGAGCGCTGCCTGTTAATTACAGGCAGTGCTGCATCTGGCTTTTGACAGGTAGTTAGGTTACACAGCAGCAGGCTTCCACACTGCTTGTGTAACCTAACTAGTGAGGCAAGAGCTGTCACAGCCTCTACTCTGTGTTAGAGGTGTGAGCTCGCTGGATGGCTTGGACCAATGGCAAAGCGCCATTGGTCTAAGCTGTCCAATCAAAAAAAAAAAGGAAAAAAAAACCCAGTGAGGACATCGATCTCGATGCCTCACCAGTGACGAGCAAGTGAGGGACACGGAGGCTCCTCTCTGTCTCCTACCTTCCTCTTCTCCACACAGCTTGGTTACCGAGCTGGAGGTGGGGCTTTGGTGGGGCCGGGCGGAGCTTGGGTGGCTGGGGAATGCCTCAACCAGCACAGAAGGCACTACACGTCACTGCTATCCAAACTATAAAATATATTTTGGTTGTACATACATGTTAAGCTGTCTCGTAACATTTTATACATTATTTTTTTGGGGGGGGGGCTCACCCTCCTTATCAACACTCCTACAAAAGTGCTGTGGTGGATTCCTGGAATGTAAATCACCATTAAGTCTAATTCTGTATTTTGTTACTTTGTATTCTTTACAGTTTGGCTCTAGCTAATAACAGCACTCTAACCATTGGGACGATAGATGAAATCCAGAAACTGCACATCAGAACTGTGCCACTCTTTGAATCTCCCAGGTATGTGTGAGGAAGAGACTGACCCATTAATATTGTCACATGTAATGGTAAAATTGCACTAATGATGATTTCTTTTCCTTGTAGGAAAATTTGCTATCAGGAGGTATCTCAGTGTTTTGGGGTTCTCTCAAGTAGAACAGAGGTTCAGGATGCCAGTGGCGGTAGCTCCCCTCTACGACCAAGTGCTAGTACTCAGGTAATATATATTTCTGGTCATTTCATATACTGGGCAGAATAGACTTGTAGAGTGAGTGTATAGCAGTTGTGCAGCAAGTATCTCCCCCTTCCCCCTTGTAATATACAATGGACATGTACAGCTGATAGGTTCTGTAACTTACTACCCAACAGATTTCCTTTTGGTTAGGCAGCTTTGATCATGGTGTAATCTACTAACTATAGTGGGCTTATTCAGTGGGCAGTGTTTAGAACATTGATGTGCACAGTGCTGCAGCCCATAGAAGCCAATCTGGAAACTGCAATGAACTGATCTAACTAGCATTTTCAAAAGGTCAGCAGTGGCAGCCACACATATTTCTTCCAGGTTCCTCTAATTACAGCACTCATTTTCTTTTGTTAAGATAATGTTTATTAATTTTGAAATATATAACAAAACATGTCAGAAAAAAAAGTGTAGTTAGTGTATGCCTCGTGTGACGGAGAACACCAGTAAATGTGTATCCCCTGTAATTACTAAAGAGAATGTATAGTGGTTTTATAATCATTTTCTGTCCCTTTTTTTTTTTTTTCTTTTTTAATGGTCGGGGTTAAAAAATAAAATTGTTTAAATGTACTGTTTATTTTTTAGTCACGTCATTAAAAGGTTTCTAAACCCTCCGTTTTTTTTGCATATATCTACTGTTAGCAAGCAGTAGATGTATGCAAAAAGTATTTTTTATAAAACGCTGTAAAAGCGGTTTAGACTTACCGCTGTCTTCGCCGCGCGCTCTCGTCCGCAAATCCTAAACTGCTCAGGCGGCCGCAAAGCAGCTTGGGGCGGGCGCATGCGCAGTTTGGATTTTCGTCCGGGAGACAAGGAGAGACGCAAGGTAAGTCTATGGACGAGTGCACCCGCATGCAGACACCATGGGACAGGAAGTGCCAGCAAGGACAGAGGAGTCAGTGCTGGATTGGAGAGCCGCCACACCGCTGGAGAGAAGGCTGAAAAGGACAGGAAAGAAGATTGGATTAAGAGACATCATTTAAGGTAAGTGTTTTACTTAACATTGTGGGGAGGGAAACATTTTTTTTACTTTAATGTCACTTTATTTACATATGAATTTTATGCAGCCACCAGGTGGCACTCTTTGCTACTTTTCTCTTTTGACTGCTTGTTATAAAAAAGCTTGTGTAACGTTTAATAGTGCAAAGGTGAAATTTACACCTAATTTATTGACTCATTGCAGTGTCTCATTATCAGATGGCTCGGTACAAAGTTTAAGCCCTGGTTCACACCTAGGCTGCACCGTTTTTGCACGTTGGCAGCATGCATATATTTGCGCGTTGGGCACATTTGTATGCACGTTTTAACATGCGTACATGAAGATGCGTGTTTTGATTGGCAGCTCATAAACCATTGTGGGTAATGGAAGAACGTGCGTATAGACATGCAAAAACGCGCACAAAAATGTACAACATGCTTCTGTTTTTGGGCATTTCCAATGAATTCTATAGGGAGGAAAAGCGCTTTTAACTGCCAAAGAAGCTCCTGTATCTTTTCTGGCGTTTGGCATTTTCCTGCTCAGGTGTGAACTAGGGCCATTGAAAATCCTGGAATTTCTTGTGTTGGGCAGTTAAAAGCGCATTTTCAAACTGCTCAAAAACTCCTAGGTGTGAACCAGGGCTAAGGGAGAGAGATCCTGTGTGAAAGAAGATGATTACTGGTGCCTTTTTAGCTAATCCCCAGTGCCCCAGAAATCATTTGTCAGGTCTAAAATATTTATTTGTAAAGCAAAAGAGGGTAAGTATATGTAGATAAAATGAATATAGGCGAAAAAAGGGTTTCAGACAGAGACTTATAACCTTCAAATAAAATTGAGCCAAATACATTGTTTCTCTTTTTAAAGAGTAGCTCCACTTTGGTTGAGAAAAAAAAAACCAATCCATTTTTGGTGATCCGTGTACATCGCAAGGATTTTACCAAGCTGTGTTGCAGTTTCCTACTTGGTTCTGTTCTGAAGGAAAACCATGTCCTTTCCAAACTGATTTCTGAATGGGAGAGTCTGGGTTCATTATTCATTATAACCTACCTGGTGGGCTTTCTCTGTTTTAATGGGTAAAGGTGGAGTGTCGGCATCCCTTTAGCAGCAATGAACCCTTTGGGAGGATCTCACCAAAAAGAAAATTCCTATTGCAAGGGATTCCTAAAACTATATCTTAGTGCAGACATCAGTCAAAATCAGTCTGCCTATCATAGAAGCAGAAAATTACATTTCTGGGGCTTGGTGTACAGAATGCCTCCAGGCTGCCATATTGCATTGAATTTTTTTGACCGTTTTAGAAAATTACAGTGGCTGCCGTTTTAAAGGGAAAATGTTTTAATAACAAAATGGCTAGTGACGCAGTTATATATGCTATATTCTTTTTTACATTTCCCTTTTAAGTCTTCTGGTTCTGATGAATTCACTTTATATTATGTGATTTAACGGAATAAATTGGTAATATGAATGATTTGGTGCAAGAAGGTTGCTGGATATTTCAGCAGAAGCAACATGCACCATTTAGCCAAAAGACCATTTGTGAGGTCCAGTACTGATGTTGGGCGAGGAGTCCTGGCTTCCCATTTTTCATTAGGGTTGAGCTCAGGGCTCTTTTCAGAGTGCTAAAGTTTCTCCATACTCCTCAACAGGGCTTGAAAAATCCGCTCTAACGGCATGCTGCTCTGTGACAGGAGATCAAAGGAAGCTCAGTATACAGTCTCCCTCTGATCTCCTCTCCAGTCCCCGAAAGCAGGAAGTGATGTTACACTTCCGCATTCTGCTGTTACTCTCCAGCTTCAGAAGCTGGTAAAGCAGATCTCTGCTTCATCAGCTTCTCTGGGGGTCCCTAGGTGACAGGGGTCTTGAAGACCCCTGATGTCTCCATAAAGAGGACCTGTCATGTAAATTGGCTATCACATAGGGGGCTTCTTATCCCCCCCATGTGATGGCAATAAAGTTAAGTGTAAAAAAATCAAACAAGCATAACATTATTTATTTTTTTTGGTCCCCTGCCCCCTACATACATACACAAACATGCGTCGGGTGTGCCTACTTCCGAAAACGACGATTGTGCCACAGGTGTTACAAATCGCCGCAAACGTCTGAGTGAGAGTAATAATTTTAGGGCCATTAATCAATGATAACACTAAAATGATCAGCATTTAAAGCGTCGCCTATGGCCAATTTCCGGTGTGGTCGTTTATTGTGAGCGCAAGCAATTTTAAAGCTTGTGATGTTTGGTGTCTATTTACCCGACATGACCCCATATTTTACCAAAAATATGGGTAAGAATAAACGTTTTTTAACATAACGTAGGAAAAACATTAATTTTTTCCCCAAATTTACGGTGCTTTTTTTCATTATGTAGTAAAAAATAACCCCCCCCCTAGTGGTGATTATATACCACCAAAAGAAAGCTCTGTGTCCCCAAATTTTTTTTAACATATGTTGCAAGGCTATATACAGGTGAAACTCGAATAATTAGAATATCGTGCAAAAGTAATTGCAGTAAGTGCTGCAAAAGGGGCCCAAACCAAGTACTGAGTACATATGCATGCTTGTACTTTTCAGAGGTCCGATATTGTTCTATGTACAATCCTTGTTTTATTGATTGCATGTAATAATCTACTTTTTTGAGGTTGTGGATTTGGGGTTCTTGGGGTTTTCATGAGCTGTAAGCCATAATCATCACAATTGACAAATCACGGCTTGAATTATCTTGCTTTGCATGTAATGAGTCTATCTCATATATTAGTTTCACCTTTTAAGTTGCATTAGTGAAATAAATTAACTTTGCACGATATTCTAATTATTCGAGTTTCACCTGTAGTCCGGTCATGGTGACTGGTGACATTTTTGACTGGTGAGACACACCCTAACATTTTTCAAGCCCTGCTAATCAAACCGTGTCTTTGTGGAGCTAGGTGTGTGCACAGGGGGCTCAGTCATGCTAGAACAGAAACCTGACTTCGCCAAACTGTTGGAAGGGCACAATTGTCTAGAATGTCTTTGTATGTTGTAGCATTAACAGGACCTTTCACTGGAAACACCTGAACTCAGTTTGAAGGGATGTCTGCATAGCTGTAGCCATGTTGGTAGGAGTGATGGTTAGGGGTCTACAAACACTTGGCCATATAGTGTATTTCTTCCCACTTCCCCAAGAGGAATATGCTAGAATAATGTGCTATTTTGATTATGTTCTGCTATTTTTAATAAGGTCATTGGTGGTTTCTAGTTTCTGTGGTTTGGGATCCAGGCTTTGACCGGCCTTTCTCATGCCTTTCTCTTGAATTCTACAGGCATTGTCTTCCAGTGTGAGTAGCAGCAAGCTGTTTTCAGGAAGCACCTCTCCCCATGAAACCTCATTTGGAGAAGAACTTGAAGTTCATAACCTCCTTATCATAGACCAGCACACTTTTGAAGGTAAAAAGTTAGTGAATTACACCTATAAAAAAAAAAGCATGAAGTAAACTAGAAAGTCATGCTTTGCTTTTTCTTTTCTCTCTAGTCCTGCACACTCACCAGTTCCTGCAGAACGAATACACCCTCAGCTTGGTGTCCTGTAAGCTGGGGAAGGATCCCAGCACTTATTTTATAGTGGGGACAGCCATGGTATATCCGGATGAGGCAGAACCAAAGCAAGGGAGGATCGTGGTTTTTCAGTACGGTGATGGTAAGCAAGCAAAAAAAAAATAGGGTGGTATGTTCTACAACTATTCTGTGTATAGAGTTATTGTTCTATATCTGTGTTCTAAAGATGTGAGTTACAGAAAGTTATCCGTTACCAATTTCATTTAGTTAAATTCCAAGTATGATTTTATCCATACAGATTTGATAGATATAAAGAGCAGCATACGTTGGGTTGTGAAGGGAAACAGACACTCCTATTCCTGCATTCTTTTGAGTTGTGAATATCTTAAATTATTATAAAATCTGTGCTTTGTCCAGGGAAGCTGCAGACTGTCGCTGAGAAAGAAGTGAAAGGAGCTGTGTATTCTATGGTGGAGTTTAATGGAAAGCTACTGGCCAGCATCAATAGCACGGTAATAATGGATAATGGGCATCTCAGGATGCTGTGCAATTAAAATGATGATTACTGCTTGTATAACATCAGCATATTCTACACACTTTAAATTTAGGGATGAATCACAAATCAGGAGGATTAAATCAAACATTGTAGACTGATGAAGTTATGTTTACACAATATAGAGGGGGGAGATAGGTGGTGCATGAACCTTCCAGTTCTGCTGACAGGAAGGCCTCATTCACACGGGAAAAGGCCGGCACGTACAGCTCCGTGCTGCGTGCACGGCCATATCGGGCAGCTCCCGGGAAGGCCAGGTGCTGAGTGCGATTATTACGCAACCCCTATCCTTCTTTATGGGAGTAGGTGGCCCTACGCCTATCGCCCTGCACGTACGTGCGGGTGTCCGTACTCGTATGCTGACAGTATGGATCCTGTCTGCGTCCGAGCCGGAATATCCGCACCCGTACGGACCTGCACTTGAGCGGTGTTAGCGTAGGGCGGCATAAGGCCACACACTCCCATAGAGAAGGACAGGGGCTGAATACTGATCACACGCAGCACCTGTCCTTCCCGGGAGCTGCCTCATACGGCCGTGCACGCCACACGGAGCTTTACGTGCCGGCCTTTTCACGTGTGATTGAGGCCAAAAAGGTGATGTGCCTCTGCAAAGGAGTGTAGAGAGGGAATGTGGAAGACTGAGGAGGAGAACAGAGAGAGAATGCTTTTGAAGGGTGTAAACCTGAATTGGGTGCAAAAGCCTTCTGTGCTGCTGGTACAAAATAAAACACGCTTTTCTTTGTTTATATTACATACCACATGGAGCACATATTAGTGTTTCCACTTTGTATTATATTTTGTACTTAAAAAACACCTCGTTCTTGTTATCTATAATTATTCTGCTCAAACAATTTCAAAAACAGTCCAGAAAAGCATGACAGTCACTGGCTGCTATGTGCATAGTGTATGTTTGACATCATTAGACACTGCAAAAGTCTATTGGTTTCAGTCCAGTAAACCCTAATGAAATAAGAGGGACAGTGGAAAGCAAAGCCTGCTGTTATCATGAGATTATTTACATATAGAGTTTTTTTCATGCATGTGTGTGTATATAAAGAAATAAATAGTCGATAGTTCCACTTTAGTTCTAAGTTTACTAGTCACTAGCTAAATTCCGTAAAAATAAAGAAATGAGGTGCAGCTTTGTGCAGATATTGATGGAAAAAGGATGACACTGGCAGAGGAGAGTATGGTAAGAGGGCATTAGAAGTAATAATAAAAGCAAGGGTAAGTTGTGGTCAGTAGTTTATGCCAAGTGTCCTGAAATCTTACTTTAAACATTCACTTGCCTCTAGGAGAATGGACACTTAGCTGTAGCAGAAGGGCATTGCTCCTTCTCATGTGGACCATACTCCTCTGCACTGGTAGTAGGAGCTCAATTTAGCTTTAATGGGCATGTTTAAACTGTTTGGAGTTGGAGGATAAATACATTGTTCTGGATATTGAATTATTATTGAATAGATTTGAACATGAGATGGTTTAGGGGCTTGGTTGGGTCATAAGTTGGAACCAGATGCAAGTTGTTGCAGTGTTTTGAAGGCTTTGTATGTAAGGATCAGAAGTTTAAATTGTCTACTATACACACAGTTGGCTGTAGTTGATGACCGTATTTTCAAAGCCAACCATTGCTTTCCTCACCTAGGTTCGTCTGTACGAGTGGACAGCAGAAAAGGAGCTTCGTACAGAATGCAGCCACTACAACAATATCATGGCATTGTATCTGAAAACCAAGGGCGATTTCATCCTGGTGGGAGACTTGATGCGTTCGGTGCTGTTGCTAGCTTACAAGCCGATGGAAGGAAACTTTGAAGAGGTAGGCAGTTTGGTATAACTGTGCAGAAAAAAAGCGTAGAATATAAAACATACCTGGAAGGAAGAAATTGATAGCTTAGCTATTCTCTTCATTTATACCTGACCCTGTATTTTGTGTTCCTACAGATTGCACGGGATTTTAATCCCAACTGGATGAGCGCAGTGGAGATACTTGATGATGATAACTTCCTAGGAGCAGAGAATGCATTTAACTTATTTGTATGCCAGAAAGACAGGTAATGGGAAATACTTTCTACAGTAAATGTAGAAGAGACCTGAAGGATACCACAGTAAATGTAGCTGAGGATTTCTAGTTCACTGAGCCTAGACTGACAGTGCAGCTACTTTGGCATTTGCAGGTAGAGTATTTTTATTTTATTTATTACGGGTATTTATATAGCGCCGACAATTTATGCAGCACTTTACATAGTTCCACATTCACATCAGTTCCTACCCTCATGGAGCTTACAATTTAAGGTCCCTATCTCACATGTATACATAGAGGGCCAACTTAGAGAGGAGCCAATTAACATACCAGCATGTCTTTGGAGTTGGATCTGTCTGGGTGTTTGTGGATATTTTGAGTTCAAATGTTTTTTTCTGACCATTTTTTGTAATTGGTCTGCCTTGCCCTGGGATGAATAGTTACCCTTTAAACCCCACATCAGTCATGTGTTCCAAAACTTTCAATGACCAGTGCATATAAGGCAGATTTCACAAGGGCGGTCCAAAGGGTTTCGGCCAGTCAGTTTTTCAGGTGGACCCTATTGGATGCCCAATGTAAGTGTATAAGCAGCTGTGTGTAAATGGACGGGCGGGCATGGATCCCCTGTAATTAGCTTGTGTGAAAGGGGCCTAGGCCTCAAACAGCTGTAAGCCACTGGAAAATACAGCTCTGTAAAATAAGGCTGTATACGTACTATATACCAGTGTCCTGGATGCCCAGTTGGCCTCAGAGAAGAATAATTTGCTTGTAGTTTGGATTTGGAGGCAATGACATGCAAATACATTTTATTTTAATGTAATACATTTTGTTTTACACGCTGTAATTGAAGTTGCGTTGTGTCCTGTAGTGACCCAAAAGTGCAGTGGCTCATGAGAATGAATATTTTACCACCTCTTGGGGTTTACAGGGGTTGCTGGTTTACCTATTTTTACCTGGTGAGAGGGTCACTTTAATAACAGAAGTAAATAGGTAAAAATCCCTGAAGATTGTAATAATTATACGGCTGCTATTGTAAAACACCATGCAGGGGTATGAATAAAAAGAGGATACCCTATGCTGCAACATCTTTAGAAACCTATGACCACAGATATCTTGTAACATTAGCTGGACATAATGACTCTTTCTTCCCATTTCTAGTGCTGCCACAACAGATGAGGAGCGACAACACCTGCAGGAAGTTGGGCTGTTCCATCTGGGGGAGTTTGTCAATGTGTTCTGTCATGGTTCCTTGGTGATGCAGAATCTTGGGGAAACATCCCCTCCAACACAGGGCTCTGTCCTTTTTGGAACCGTTAACGGGATGATTGGTGAGTCTAGCTTGCTGCTTTTGTTTTGTTGGCTTGACCGGCTTTGTATAGTTATATTAAATATTTATTTTTATCTATGTGCACCTCAGGTCTTGTGACATCCGTATCTGAGAGCTGGTACAATCTCCTGCTTGATGTTCAGAATAGGCTCAACAAAGTCATCAAGAGCGTAGGCAAAATTGAACACTCATTATATCCTTTGAGAAAAAATACATCGGTATTACTATGCACTTTGAAACCGTACTGATATAATGTATGTTTAATGTTTTTGGTTTTTTTACGCAATGGGGGGCATTTTAGTATTGCGTTTACTTCCCTGGGTTTTGATATTAGTATTTCTTGTCTTGGGCCTCTGGTAATCTTTGGTGGCTGAAGTTTCCATATCTCCAAAAAAATTAGAATAAAGAGAACTGATATGACTTTTCTATCCAAATGACTAAAAAAAGCATCCTAATGGCAGGTATGGCTATTGGCTGTTTAAAGCAGACTTATTTAAATGTTGAGGTTTTATAAATAAAGGACTGCAATAGTGTCTGCAGCAGGAGGAAGTAGACCTGTACATAAAATGTAATAAACGTGGCTGCCTAGCACAGGTAAATGTGACAAAACAAATTAAAATAATTGACCTTTTGCATGTAATTCCAAATGAAAGAAAGCCAAGAGCTTCCAGGCGTGACAGTGCCTAGCCCCACCTCTGTTACTCTAGCCTATCCAGAGTTTGATGGGCATAACCCACCTGCTTCATCTTATATAAATACTTTATTACATATATGGAGTTCATCAGGGGTGAGGTCTAGGAACAGGAAGTGCTGCCCAGTGGATGTAAAAGTGTACCTGGGCAAAAGAGCAACTAAAGAATCCCTGCTGTAAGTGTTATCGCTTACAATGGACTTTTGTTACACTGTTTAAAGAATAAGGTTGGCTGAGTCTAGGTCCGCTTTAATGTTTAGGACTGCTTATGGGCTTTTTTATTCAGGACAAATGTGGTAACCCATAGCAACTAATCCCACTTTCCTTTTTGTGGATTCCTGAAAGGAGTACACAGAAAATTAACTTGCACTGGTGACATCTGAAAAAGTCTTCAAGGGGGTGAGGTGAGACATTCCTATGTTCTTCACTTTTGGCTACCATATGCAATAGTTAGAAAACATGAAGTATGGCATGGAACAGGTGATTTGACTTTTTTCATGTAATGGATCATATGCTCTCATGTTTAGGTCGAAATAAATGGCGATTGGCAAAATGCAGCAAAGCTAATTCTTGTCATTTTGTTGATTGTGTAAGATGTTATCCTTAACCTTATATCACCTGGAGATCATTCCACACAGAGAGGAAAACTGAAGCTGCAACAGGATTTATAGATGGGGATCTGATTGAGAGTTTCCTGGACATCAGCAGGACAAAGATGCAGGAAGTAGTAGCAAATCTACAGGTATGCTTCATTCAGTTACCTAGTGCTTCATTTAACCTCTTTCCATATGTTTTATGTCAATCATATGAGCAATGTTTTCCTTCTCTTGCAGATTGACGATGGCAGTGGTATGAAGAGAGAGACGACTGTCGATGACCTAATAAAGATTGTAGAAGAGCTAACCAGGATTCACTGATTCTGACGCTCCCCTTCATGTTTACCCCCTTAGGCTTCCCTAATATCCTATGTGGGAGTAGCCTCCATGGGCCTGATGGACAGTGAGGTCAGCTTACATTAATACTGTCGGTGCCTAAGGAGAATATCTCGTTATGCAGCCCATCTGGCATTTATATCTTTTGCATCTAGAGTTGGCCAGTGAGTTGCAGGACTCATGCCAGCAAATGGAATTGTGTGTGATTGTACAGGTTATTACCCCCAACTACCCCCCTGCACCCTCTTTCCATGCTGAAACTTGCCCCTTCCTATGTATTTTTTCATATATAGTATTGTGAAGAGGGGTTTCTTCTCCCCAAGAACTCTGCATAGCTGGTGTAAGCTGTGGCAGCAGAAACCAGGCATGTGACGTCATCTGCAGTAACTATGGGGTGTTTCACGTGCTAGTTGCTGTTCTAATGGTGCAGTGTCCCTGTCTCCAGTTCTTGTGTTCAAGCCGTAAAAGAGGGAGGTTATTTTCTGACAATTTAGGAAATAAATTGGGCTGGAAATGAAATTTTTTAAAGCTTCTTATTGTGAGCACTGGAGCGTGGTATTTTCCCAAAGTGTTTTCTTGGGATGTGTACAGGAAGGCTTCTACTCATGTTGGTTTCCCTCGTGTTGTATGCAATGCAGATCTGGTTATTAAATAAGGTAGTGGTGACCAGCAAAATACAGTACCCTATAGCAAACAATCAGGAAAACTGATAAAATAACATACAATCACACGTCACCTTTGCACTACCTTACTGAATAAACCATCCTTTATTACATTGAGTATAAAGGAGAGTGGAGCAAGCAATCATTCCAACTGTATTGTCTCCTATGTTCCATCTTGGGTGTGTTGGCACTATATTAAAGGCTGACTGAACCCCATGGGGAAAGCACCAGTGGGTGAACACTGGCTATTGACAAAAGGCAGTAGAACCTAATCTAGAGTGTTTACAGAATACCACGGCCTTTGTGGTCACCATGCAGCTTGTTTGCTCTGTTGGATATCCAAACCATGCTCTGTTATTTTAATTGAGGGTTGTATAATGTGTATACATTCCTGAGATCCCAAGATCTGATAGAGCTAAAGTAGGCCCAGATGTGTCCACAGTACTTTTAGTGTTCAAGACTGCATCAATGTTATGCGGCTGACCTTATAAAATAAAAAATGATACGTCCCTAAAACTGAACATTTGTAGTAATTTTAAGGTGAACATGCCGCACCATGATAGCACCGAAAAACCTAGTATGTTTTCTTTTAAAAGATCTTCAATCTATGTTGTATTGAATTTGGCTCAAATATAATAGGAGACAAGATTTCCTAATCACAAATATTGACTTGGACTTATACTCGGTTAACAGAATGTTATAGTTTTGCAGGGATGGGAAAGACATAGTAACATGCTGAAATACTTCAGGCTCCCTTCAGCAATTCAGAAAGATGGACTGTACTTGGGCAACATGTAGCTTGCTATTCCTGACCATTCCTACTGAAAAAGGTATTTTCCTGCTTTAGTAGCCTCAGTAAAGTTTGCCTTGCTTACCCAGGGAAAGTATGTAGATCAGCAGCTTGTTTTGGGTCAATAACTCAAAAGTATTGAAAGCAGTGACGGTCAGGCAGCTAACATTTTTTAGGTTGTCAGCAGTTTTGAGACTGTTTCTCTGAGTACAGATATACTTGACGTTAGGGATGCACTGATTCCAGTATCGAGTACGAGTAGCGAAAAAAATTTTTCCGGTACTCGCCAATACCGAGTACCGGAAGTCCCATCCAGGAAGCCAGACGGCATTAAATGCCTCGCCAGCTGGCTTCCTGATTAGCTGGGCAGCATGTAAAGATTCGCCATCCGGCTTCCCGATTAGCAGGGAAGCTGTCCCCATGCTTCTCGTCACTAGGTGACAAGAAAGCATGGAGCTGGCTTTCTGGCCAATCAGTTAGCCGGGCGCTGTGTAATGACGCGGCGCCCGGCTTTCTGATTGGCCGGGAAGCCGGCTCCTTCGTCTTGTGGTCATTACACGGCGCCCGGCTTCCTGATTGGTCGGGAAGCTGGACAATCAGAAGCCGGGCGCTGTGTAATGACGCGGCGCCCGGCTTTCTGATTGGCCGGGAAGCCGGCTCCTTCGTCTTGTGGTCATTACACGGCGCCCGGCTTCCTGATAGCAGAATTATCGGGCTAGGCATCGGAGCATTTGGGCCAGTACGAGTACTCGCCCAAATACTTGCCACCGAAACTAGTATCGGTGCATGCCTACTTGAAGTATTAACTACTTGGTTGAGTGTATTCTGCTGAAACATAAAATCAGAATTCTGACTGGCTGATCCTTTCCTTTAGGTGAGATCATGTGACTAGGAGCCTAGGCCTTCACATATGTCTAGTACTTAAGGGAGCCCATAGCATCATTTTTTGAGAAAAGGTATTTCATCTATTTTATTATTTACCCATCCTAGGAATACTGTTAAAAGATAATTGCAGCCAAAGCACTTTAGCTTTGGATACTCCAAAAAAGTGTTTAAAACCTTTGCTGGGTTTTATGATTTGATGTTCCTATTGGTTAGATTCTCCATGACTTGCTGTAGTGGCGACCACTGAGACAGGAAGGGATGGGAACTTCTCCAACAGGGTCAGAATAAAAATCTGGCAGAGGTCATAACTATTCCTTGTTTACGGATTCCTCTGTCCCTCTTCACATTTCCCTTCACTTTCTCATGTCACTAATAGATGATGTCCCCAGTGGGTTTAAGCTCTTCCCCACTCTATCCAAAACAAAATAGTTTTTGCTAGAGTTTCTGCACACATTTGAGTAAAGGTCCTGAAGGGTAGAATCATGGGGTTAAATGTCATAAGCAATTGCATTTATTTTCTAATCTGCACTAGAAGAAATACAGATAGTTCCTGCTTATTGTAATACTTGAGTTATGTAATCCTGGCGTCAAGAAGATTGTTCACAAATCTGTTTAAGGTAGCCCTGCCACTGCTTTCTATAGGTGCTACACAATGGAATTTTTATTTGTGGAAACCATAGAAAATCTGGGATCCAATATTTGTCATGCAAGGCATTTGAAATAAATTGTACCTGTTAAAATGTCTATTGAGAATGTGACATGATCCGATGGGAGGGGGCTATGCTGCCATTGCCGACATTGTAGTCGATTAGACTGTGTATGTTTTTTGGAAAAACTGCTTCATTTAAAACTTAATGAAAATTATGTTCTAACCACCACTGTGTGATTTATGTTGCTGATGTTTTTTTGATTTTTTTTTTTTTAAGGTCCTAGTGGATGCTGAAAGTCATATTTTTAGTGTATATGCCTAATTCTTGAGAATAAGACATGAAAATGCTCAGTGCTAACTTTGCTTCTGACTTCTGTAAAAACAAAGCATATAGAAATCATACTTTCAAGTTAATAGGATTTTTGCCTTAGAAGTGCTGGAATTCACAGCCTGTATCTCCAAAACAGGTAGTAGGGAATAACCTTCCCAACAGGAAAAAGTCAACAAAAGCGACTGGTTTATTCAACACTACAAATAGGGATTTGGGATAGAATTATCTCCGATGTGACTTGACAGCTCAGACCACATAGCTTACCTAGTAACCAATTTTGTGACAAGCGTTGTTCAGTGATTATGCTGATTGTATTGTCTGTTATAGGCACTAGGGGGCACATTACATACCTGCGTACAAAACTGTCACAGCAAGCATGTAAACATTTAATGCTCATGAAAATAGGATTATTTTGTAATCCCCATAAAATCCTTTGCTTGTAGTCCATTAAGGGACACAGGAAGACTTTAACCTGTGTAGATTACCACCTCCAGAAAGACTGGTTAATCAAAAGAACTGCATGCCAGTCCAGGATAACTCCTTACCCCAAAGGCCAGCCCAGGACCTTACACCCGAAGCGAAAAAGAGAGATGAGGCAGAAATATCCACCTAGTAAAACTTGGATAAAGTGCAAATGGAAGACCAGGCGGCAACATTGCAAATCTGATAAACAGATTCTTGATGCTTAAAAGCCCAACAAGAACTCGCTGATCTAGTAGAGTGCGCCTTGACAGGAAAGGGTGGAACCTGACCTTTAAAGACCATAAGCTTAAATAGTAGTCCTTACTTCACTCACTCCAGAACCACAAGCCAGACACAACCTGGTTCTCAATGTCAACAGTCAGTTTATTCAGAGACCGGACTGACTTGTCCTACGACTACAGAAGGTTGCATTGCAGATGTCTAGAGTGAAACTGGCCAAAGGGGACTGTAATTCACCCCAGCAATTTCACGCAAAAGTGGAGGGTTTGACAGCTGCTGGCCTGTAGAGTTTTAACCCATGACTAGAGTTTCTCCTGTGGAATAAACACTCTAATCTGAGATGTGTGCAGGACTAGACTCAGATACTCCAAGCAAGTATGTTCCAGAGACAATTCTGGAAGATTGGGCAGTCAGAGACATGTCCGACAGAGCCCACTATGGGGATGACATGAGAGCACCACAGGGCTCATACGTGGGCCACCTCCTTGGTGATAACCTGAGGTGCAGACTGAAGGGCAGGGCCACAGAATTGTAGTGATGGACCCCACAGCAACGCTTAGGAATTGCTGATGCGTTGGAAGATGGGAACATGTGAGTAAGCATCTTTGATGTCTGGGGGATTCCATTTGGAATTTTGAACCCGAATGAAGGTCACACTTAAACACCTAAAACCATTCTTCAGAAACTGGGCCAAATGACACCTTGACCCAAGAGTGCTCAGTGGAAATCTGCTAGTTTGTACTGTGTCACAGGTTGGAGTTTAAAAACCAGGGAGGGGCAGGGAGCAAAACTTTAGTTTGCAGCCCCCGGGATACCATCTCCTGTGCCCAAGTGTCTGAGATGCAAGCTGTTCAAGTGTCACAAGGGTTTAACAGACGTCCCCCCATTCTGGAAAGTAGACACACACACCTTCGTGCAAAGGAAGGCTTGTCTGAGGGTTTGACAGACTTTGTCAGACTATGCAGGTGAACTAAGCTAGGAGGGTTGAGAAATGAAAGGTACCCTTCTTAAAATCCAGAGAGGGAGAAGACTTAGCAGACTGTTTCTTAGGCTTCTTCAGCTGGGTGGTCTTGCCACCAGCAGCATCCTTGATAAAATAAAGAGCCGGTCTGGAAAGATATTGTCCCTCCAAGGCAATGCAGATGAAACACGTCTTGTGCAAGGCATGAAATGGGAGGCTTCCAGCAAATTGCCACAGCTGATATTTCATTCCACAACCATCTTCTTGACACGTTCAATAACCAAAGGATCAACTGCAGACTTGGTTAGATGTTTTATTTTTATTTTTTTAAGGCATTTTGACCAATCAGACATGGTCTGACAAAATAGTCATAGCCAGAATGGGGTGAAGGGCTGGACCGGTCAGTGATGAAGGAGCTCCAGAAAGGTTTCCCAATCACTTATTGGAGAGGTGCATCCTCTACCGAAAAGGTAACGCCAGATCCACAAAACAAATGCATGGCTAATAAGCACTTGTGGAGAGCAAACCACTTATCAGGATGCTTCTGAACTCCATAGAGAATCAGTTGAAAAAGTGGGTGCAAAGGGAAAATCTTTGTGACCTCAGAAGTTTTGAATGACCCAAGACTGGAGACGGCACTAGTACAAGCAACTAGTGCACTGCACTAGTT